ATATATATATATATATATATATATATATATATATATATGATTTGTTAAAAATTGTGATTTTCATTCTTTTGGTTGAAAAATTACAGTTTTTATCTTTATGGTTTGTAATTCATGCATATTTTCATCCTTATGATTTTTAATTATTGTTTTTTTTCTGTCCATCTGTTTTACAATTTATTACTATTTTGGTCCCTTGTATTTTTTTTTTAAAAAGAAACGAATGAGGTCCGATCAAGCTTCAGCATTGCCGTCACCCAATCGAGAATCAATCAATATCATTAAAAATGTGATCATGACATAAGTCATTAATACAATGTAAGAGGAAAGACAGAGTTACATCAAAAACTTTAGGACAAGATAAATAACAAGTGTCTAGCAATTAAGTGAGCCGCTTCCTTGGCGTGTCTCCCAATCGCATGGACCGAATGGTTGTGTCATGAGTGCCTAAAAGTCGTATTATGTCCAGAATGATATCCCCAAATTCCGAAATGTCATGGCTCTTATCGTTGGCATTAGTTTCGAAAATAACATTGGATATCCCCGTCCTTGGACCTATAAGATTGCGTCCCTAAGAGCATACGCCTCGCATTCAGGGACCGGAGGAAGGGAAGTATTTGGGGTTGCTTTGGCATAAATGAAGGTACCCCTACTGTCCCTTGTACTTAAAACGTAAGAATTTAGCCCAATGACAAAAATAACAATAAATTGAAAACAATAAGAAGAAAAATCGCAATTTCTAAATCACAAGGACGAAAATGAAAATTATTAACAAACCTTAAGTAGGTGTGTACATTGGGCGGGTTCGAATGAGCAAACCAAAAACCCGATCAGATTTCATATATGGGAAATCAAAACCCGAATTTTACGTTTCGAATTTCAGGTTGGTTCGGGTTTAGGTGGTTGGGTTTCAGGTTGATGTCGGTCGGGTTCGAGTACTATTCTAATGCAAAAGGTATATACAAATTCAATCAATATTGAGAATAAATTCAATCAATTGAGATATTGATGAAATCGATAGTAAGTTTAGAAATTATAAAACATTTCTACCGACTAGAATTTAGTATTTTCAAAAAATAATTACATAAATAAATATATTCATATAATATTTAAAATATATATATATACATATATTTAGAGTTTTCAGACAGGTCAAGTAGCCAAAAATCAAACCCAACCCAAACCCAAATATTCCCCTAGTTTTCAGGTTGGTTCGGGTTCCGGATTTTCAGATTTTAGGGTATTCAAGTTTCACACAAACGTCTTATTTTCGATTCAGGTCCGGATTTCTATTCGGGTTTTACACACTTCTAACCATAAAGAACGAAAATCGTAATTTACGCATATATATATATATATATATATATATATATAATATAGTTGAATAATATAAATACTTATAATATTGCAACTTTTATGACATTATTATTATCAAATATATTTCAGTGTGAACACAATTTATATTTTTATATTTAATATCTAAAAATTACTTAACAAGATTTGGATACGATGCAAAAATAGTAACGACTTTTAATTAAATAAAAGTCAAAAACTGAAACTTTGAAATAAAAAAGATGCAATCCCCAATTTGAATTGCAACAAACGATGGAACATTCTTTTGTACCATCTTTTTCAAATCAGCCCCATTTTGAAGATTCCCATTTTTGCAACCACCGTTTATGGATGGCAATCAGATCTACCGTTCACAAACACCGTCCTGTTAAAATTGTTAACGGATGATCGAGGATGGGGTTGACCCGACCATGACCAACAAACAACAAGCGGTATTACAGACTCATAAATATTTCATATTTGATCTATCCATCTAACGATCGTTAAAACAAGAGCCATTTTTGTTCTTTTATCGATTTTTTTGTCTTTTACCCAATCAAATCAATTTTATGATTTTGGTCCATGTGACTTTTGATTGAGTAAGAGGAAAAAAATGATTAAAAAAACAAAAATGTCCTTTATTTTAAAAAAATAACGACAATTAGAGGGAGGGACCAATACCATATGTTTTTGTAAACACAATAATTATCTTGTAATTTCAAAACTATAAAGACAAACAGTGTTATTTTTTACAAACCACAGGTACCAAATTTATAGTTTACCCACAAAACAAAAAGTTAATATTAGAGTTATATATATATATATATATATGGGTCTATTCAAAATGAGAACTGAACAGTTTGTGGTAATTATGAGGTCCAATCTCAACCATAAATTAACGGATAAATTAGAAAATTAATAATTATGGTAGTTTGAGTTAAAATTATAATCAGAGGGCATATTAAGTATTTTTTAAAAACTCCTCTCTCCTCTCTCATCTCTCCGACCTCCAATCTCCGGTCTCCGGTGAAATCAGTATCACAGTATCTCACAATAGGTATCACATTGTGTATTACAATGGGTATCACATTGTGTATCTTTATTTTTAAGGTCTGAGTTGGTATCATAGTTGGTATCACAGTATATCGCAATGAGTATCACATTGTGTATCTTTGTGATTACTTGGTACCTGCTGGATTAATGTTCACCGGAGGCCGGAGATTGGAGGTCGGAGAGAGAAGAGATGAATTTTTTTAAATACCTAAAATGCCCTCTAATTATAATTTTAACTCAAACTACCATAATTATTAATTTTCTAATTTATCCGTTGATTTGTGGTTGAGATTGGATCTCATAGTTACCACAAACTAATCAGTTCTCCCTTGAATGGACCCTTATATATATATATATATACACACACACACACACTAGAAGGGTACTCGCACAATGCAGCGAGATACATCTCAATTTTAATGTTTCATTTTTCTTTTGTCTCGGTCGATGTTATAGGAAATAGAAAAAAATATTGATATTATTACCAAAATGACTTTAAAATTTCTTCTTTTTGTGTATTTATTTAATTCATTTTTTTGGTTTAATAATATATCTTTTATAAAGATAATAATTAAGTATTTTTTTAGAACTCAATGATTATCCTAATTATATTTTTATTTAAAATGAGATATTTATTATCTATTTGATTATGTTTACCTGCAGTTAGTTACACGAATTCAACATGAAGCTTTAATAAGTTGTATTTATGTAAAATTTACTTGTAATCTTGATTTTTAAGTAATATGCATCAATAAACGGTACTTCATGCATAAAAATGTTTTTATGAGTTTTTGTCAAATGTTTTATAATATAGTATAAATATATTTATATTTATAAATGCCTACTTTATTGACCTTTAAATATAAAAACCAACATTTTTTATCTCAATTTTATTCAGTGTCTTAGTGTTGGATTAGAGATGAAAACAACTTCATTTCTATGTTTTTAATGTTTTTAGTGTTGAGTTGGAGATGGTCTAACGATCAAGGCGTACCAAATTTGCCACAACAAACTTCTTTTATTAATTAGTTTCAAGAAATATAAGGGTACTCAAATGAAAAGTTACACTGATGGGACAATGAAGCGGTGGCATGGACCATTTTATGCTCCTCCCCATTACGATAGGACGATGATGCGGTGGCATGGACCACCGTATGCTCCCTCTATAGATCTACCTCTGAGTATAAATAGTTTATTTGCAATAAACCTACCATCAACAACTCAATTTTTATCAATCTATTTTGATTTTACAAAAATTACGATCGACACTTGTACTATGATGATCCATATTGTTAAAAGCTTAAGAATTTAGTAGTACTACGTATAAATTGTCAATTTCCCTTGTCGTTTGAGGGGAAAATTAAATTTCAGGCCAAAGTTTATTCACCGTCAACCTCTTCTTTAACGATTCCATCTTCGATCTCCGATTTAATAACGTTTTTATTTGGCCTCGCCCCCTCATCATCATGCATTTCTACCTCCTCGTTTCTTGAATCCGACAAACTCTTATCTTTACTCTTTCCCCATATGATCAAGTATAATCCAATAACGATGATAATCGCTCCAACAACCCTGAAAAATGTTATAAATAGTAAACTATAAATTTGGTCCCTATGGTTTTGAAAAAAATAACACTCTGTCCTTACAATTTCAAAATTACAATATGCCTATCATGGTTTGTAAAAACGTTCGAATTGGTACTTCCCTTTAACGGTCGTTGAAAAATTCTGTTAAATGATGGAACATTTGTTCCTTTTTTTGATTTTTGGTTTTCAAAAACCAAAGGACCAAAATCATAAAATCAATTTCGATTTGGTAAATGACAAAAGAAATTGACGAAAGAATGAAAATGCATCTTATTTAACGGAATTTTCTAACAACCGTCAAATGATGAGACTAAATCCAGATGTTTTTGCAAACCACGATAGTCATCTTGTAATTTAAAAACTGCAGAAATGAAAAATGATTTCTGAATAACCATAAGGACCAAACTTGTAGTTTTCTCTAAATAGTAATTTGAAACCAATCGAAGTAAATCAAATTACAAAAGAGGATCGATCATAGCATTGGTATGACTATACGAGTAATTGAGTTAAATAATCATTTCCCTCGTTTAAATTGATTTTTTAACCATGTCTTTTCTGGGTTGACCTAAATATAACTACTTTCACAGTATCCGGGTCTGCAATATCTTAAGGGCAAAAAAGAATTCAAATTCAACAGATATACAATTGTGACGATCCGATCCGTAATTGTGAAGGTAAACTAGTTGAATTTGTTTTTGTTTTTTTTGTCTTTTAGTTAAGTTCGCAATATTACGGACCTAGATATTGTGGATGTAGTGATATTTGGATCAAATCGACAGATAAATAATTAGAAAACCAATTTAGACGAGAGAAACGATCATTTGAGCTAATTTCTCTTGCCATAGCACATAATTACCTTCCTAAGTCCATTTGTTCACCTAGAGTAAACGAGCTCACGATTACAACGATCACCATTCCCAACGGATTGAAGGCCGTCACAAAAAAAGGTCCTTTCTCCTTCATCACTAGACCCGAAATATAGTAGCTCGCCCCTGATCGAACTATCCCCTGTGTCCAATGGGAATAGGTTTAATTTCAATTCAAGAGATTAATTAAAAACGAAAAAAATAAAATAAAAATAGTAAAATATAATCTTACACTATAAAGTGTAGCTAATAGTTTAGTGTCCCATTTGATAGACCAAATGCCTGTTTTGCCCTTCTCAATAACAAGAGTCATCACAGTGCCTTGCAAAGCACCCATCGTACATATCAGGGTTGTAAGAGACAATTGAGCAGGGTATTTCTTCAATGTCACTGCCTGAAAAATAAAAAATAAAAAATGAAAACCGCAATTCCATCATCATTATCTTATACTCCATTTGGCGGACGTCCGTAGTGGTCTGGTGTTTGGTAGTTATAGTATACGAGGTGAAGTGGTTAAAGATGTAATTACCTGAAGGATATAAAAGCTGGCCCAAAAGAAACAACCCGCAGTGATCATGATCGCACCCTTGAGGTGGTCCGCTTGAGAGGGTTCTTCAGATGCTCGAGGGTGGTGCACCCGGCTTAGGTTGGTCCATGGCAATGGGATCGGTGGTCCATTGACAAGGGTCATGACCATGGCTCCACCTACAGTCACAAAAGTTCCTATGATCTTCCCTTGGCTATGCAATCTCCTTATGTTCACCTTCTCAAGCCTACAAACACACACAAATTAATACATAAACCGAGTTTTGTTTGCACATTAATCAAGTCGTCGTGTTGTGCCTGAAGATCCACGCCATGAAAAACGTCAAGGCCGGGAGAATGTTACACATCGCTATAGCAAAAGTCACGGTCGTATACTTCATTCCAGTATAATACAAAATTTGGTCCATAACCGGCCTAGAGTTCACAAATTTTTCGTTAGCTAAAAAACGTCGAAAATCTAATTCAAAATACACGAAAAAGCAAACTGTACGTACTCTAGTTGTGCAAGCAACATGATCTTCAAGAACACGGATAATGTCATTTGAGGTCGCAGTTTCCTGCCAGATGTTATTTACGATGATCACATATAAACATCACTACGTATATGATCAAAAGATCGCTTCTGGGAGTTGGATCCGGCTTTCTCGGCACTGTGTGGATCCAACTCCCAGCGACTGTAGTACCTTTCGAAATAAAGAGCGAAAGGGCCAAAAGCGATGACTGCAGCTATATTTCGATAAACCGAAAACGTGCAAGGATTCAAACCCTTGTTCAAAGCAGATTTGACTATAATCCCATTAAAAGCGTATCCCAATTGAAGAAAGAGCACCCCGAGATACGGCTTCAATCGATCGGCAGAACGCAACCACGGATCCCTCGACATCTCCATCGATCTTTCTCGATGGTTCATGAGATGTAGCTCTCTTGGGTGAGGGTATTATGGGGTTTTTATAACAATGGGTGTTGTTCATTTAATTTCCGCCATGAAAGTTGTTGCTAAGAAGGTCGAGAAGTGTATGTACTAGGTACAGTGTCTCCTTATTTCGTGTTACTTGTATGTTACGAAAACAGAAGACAAGCCGACAATCTATGGATTAAGGTATGCTGTAATTTGTGATAATTCTGTTATATGTCAAAGTTAATTTGATTGTTAACAAGAATTTATAACCTATGTAAACGATGAATGGAAGTATTCTATAAGATTACTAACACTATACATAAGTTTACGTGTCTTTTATTTCACGAAATACATCATATATATATATCGTGTCGATTTTATTCTTATATAACATGAATATGTCGTGTGTTACTTGACAACTTTTTCTTAACGGACCAAAAAAGTTTCTATGTTTCTTTTATAGGAAAAATCAAAATTCTGAAATCGTTTAATCTTGTCTGTAAATATATATACGCGTTGGTAAGCATTGTAATCAACACTTCTGGTCTTAGGGGCCGTTTACCCAATTGCTTACCCGGTAAGCGCTTACCGATATGAGTCAACACTATGATTTGTTTTTATGTGTAAGATTTTAGTACATCAAAACATATCGAATGCAACAATTTAATGGATAAGCGCTTACTTGGGTAAGAGTCGTCATCCTCACTTACCGGGTAAGACTCTACATCATTCTATCGCTCTTACCCGGTAAAGTTTTTGGCCCTTCTCATGTTCATCCAATGAGAAAATTTATCCGGTAAACACTTACCAAATAAGTGTTTAGTAAACGGCCCCTTACGAAGCTTTTATAGTATGGAAATGAAACTTGGGGGTAGACCTACCAAGTGCCGAGGGGGTCTAGTTACTAGTTTTGTCCTAAATTTTGTAAATTGTAGATTTGCCTTAAATTGCGCTTAATCTATTGTTAGCTAATATTGTTATTGGTTTGTTCATTAGAAAGGTAACGTGACAATGTCAAAAACCAAAATGATTTAAGAGACATCAAGCAAAAAAACGGAAAAAGAATCCTTGAAATGGTGGAATTCAGTTAAAAACACATCGGACTTATGCCTGAGACGTAGTCTTACGTCTTGCTCAAAAGGTTGATTCCATTTGAGGAAAAATGTATTTTATAACCCAAATTGACACAATTAACTTTTCCCCCATGTGAAACCGTGTTGATTTTTCCACCGGCTCAAACAACGACTCCACGGTTCTTTAATCCGGCTTAAAGGGACACATCTCAACAAAAATCTTGGTTCACCAACGGCTAAAATCGTGTGCTTATTCATTGTTATCAATACAAGAACTCGTAAAGTTGATTTGGGTCCTTAACATTCCTTATTTTATCTTTATATTTCATCATAGTGAATGACAAGTTTGCGTATATCGCACTCCTCAAAGTCCCTCTATTGAATGAAATATGAAGTCGTTTGATTTAATTGGTTTATTTTAAAACATACATCGAACCGAAAACATGGATGATAAGTTATCATAAACTTTGGGATTTCATGTTTGCAAGTGTTTTATGGATGTGTTCCACATGGATCTATCATACATAACAACTCTTCCAATTTCCAAGCAATTGGGGTTACGTTTGATTGTTCCCTTTAATGAATCAAAAACACAAATTAAAAAAATAAGGAAATACATGCAGAGCAGGTATATAGAGTTAAAAAAAAAAAGGCTCTTAGGCCACGCCCAATTAGATATCTTACCTTGTGATTTTATATTCAACCATATTACATCATCAGTTATTCCCAGAAAACTGAGAGGTTATATACAATAGGATATCAAAGCTTATATTTGAGTTTATAATGGTGGAACACGAAATCTTTTACTATAAATTATTCGAAATTGAATGTGATTTTTTAGTGTCTTTGTATTGTATTTTATAATTATAAATTAATTTTAATTTTAATTTTATTTTATATTATGATAATATTGCGTCACAGCTAAAAAATTGGATTTGCTTATGAATAAAAACTAAATATAAGGAAATTGATAAAGATTAATGAATTCCGTCATATTGGCTCACATGATATATGTTTAATTAAAACCCAAAAGAGTAAGCTCTTTCTTTCGTGAATCTCAAGACTTCAAACTCAAATGGTTCATCGTAAAGCTGCAAATGTTATATATATATATATATATAAAGAGAGAGAGTAGGGTTCAAACGTAAAGTATGTCCAGATAAAAAAACAAGAAAACGATTAAATCACATATTATTTTACTCGTGAGTACAATCACATGTGATTAAGTACAACCTAGATCGAGGGTCAAGTCGTCCATAGGGCTGTAAACGAACCGGACAAACACGAACGGAGGCTTGTTCATGTTCGTTCGTTTAACTTTACCGAACAAACGAACGAACACGAATGGTAAACGAACGAACATCTTTGTGTTCGTGTTCTCGTTCGTGTAGAAATCTGGTGTGTTCGTGTTCGTTTATGTTCGTTCATTAACATGCTAAACGAACGGGCTAAACGAACATAAATAAATATTATTTTGAATTCAAAGTAAATAAACAAAATATTATATATTAAATTTAGTATATAAACAAATGAATATAAATGAACGTAAACGAACATAAACGAATGAATATAAACAAACGTAAACAAATGGTAAACGAACGAACATTCACGAACATAAATGGACGAATGAGACTTTTGTTCATGTTCTTTCGTTTAACTAAACGAACAAAAAAAATGGTTCATGTCCGTTCGTTTAACTAAATAAACAAAAAAAATTGTTCATGTCCGTTCATTTATTAAATAAACGAACATAAACGAACTTCCCGGCGAACGGTTTGCTGAACGTTCGGTTCATTTACAGCCCTAGTCGTCCGCATACCCCTTACATTGACAATGTTCCGTAATCCCATATAATTTGGTCGTTCTCATGTTCACTTATTTGGTCATAGTTCCATTTGATCCTCCTTTCTCTCCCTCTCTATGTACACATACACCATTTATAAAACTATAAAATGTTTAAATGAATAGAATCCAACTCATCTGGTTCTCAAGAGCCAAATATAAACGTAACTGACATAAAGAAAAAAGGTTGAAACCATTTTTACCAATTGTCCCAAGCTAAAGTCAGTAGTACATCTCAAAAACTATGTTATTTTAGAATTTTTAGAGATTTGAAAAAAAATTGTTTCAAGAGTTAAACTAAACTTTATTCTAAAATAAATAAATAAAGAAAAGAATGAATAAATCTCCAAATTTAACGTGAATATATATATATATATATATATATATATATATATATATATATGAACTCGTGCATTTGAGATCACCAAAAATCATGAAATTCAATGAGATCTATTCTAATCCATACATTTCGCTATATATATATGAACTCGTCAAAAATAACCTTATTAAATATAGTTCCACGAGAAACAAAAACATCAAAATTAGTAGCTTTTGTTGATGGAAATAACTAACAAAATAAGCAAAACCTAATCAAAGAAAGATACCTAAATTTCGGAAAGTTTTATAAACAACATACCTACATCAATGGAAGGGTGGGTAGATACGTGTGGCAGGGATGCTAATGGCTTTCAATTTCTATTTTCTTCTTATATATTTATATATTATGCCAAATTATTTCGTCATGTTATTGAATGAAAATCTAACTACTGGTTGATAAATTAGTCATTTTTAATAAAAAAAAACTAGTTCATAAGTTAGATGACATTGTAAAACTATCTAAAATGTCGTGTTAAAAAATTAATTAAAAAATATGAAAGAAAAAAATTAAAAATTAAAGTCTTTAAAAATTATTTAAGTGTTGTCATTGTTTGATTGAGGTATACATAAAGGCAAGATTCCATCGTAAAATGAAAAGGAAGAGTGGAACACTTGAGGAAAACAGCAATTAAGGGTAAGAAGAATTTGAGAGAGGTTAAGGAGACAAGAGAAGATCCAGGTGGAGTCCAACAAGTGGTGTTGGTGTGTGCATCATGTCTTAATAAAACATGCTGCATTTAGAGACAGAATTTTATATGTATATATATTTCAAAAAAGTTAAAGTGTTTCCTTTCAAAGTATATGCTGGGGAAGATCCTATTCTTATTCTTACCCACCCCCACCTTCACTTGATGAAAACCCACAAACAAAACCCAATTACCCCACCTTCCATCACTACATTTCAATAGCTTTCTCTCTACAGAATGGCCACAGAAGCGGCGACCGGAGGTGGTGGCAATGGTGATATTGAAGAGATCTCCGGTGACGATGAGATCAGGATCTAGTGGCATGCAGTCATAATGGTTGGTTATCAAGACAGTACCATTAGGGCAACTAAGACCTTTGGCAAAGTGTGTGTGTTTCAATTCATACTGCTTCAAGAAAGAAAATGAGGCCACCATTTCCTCTTTTCTGCTTCTTATAATAATCGTAATACTATGTCTCCATCTAAATCACCATGAAACTCAGGCTACCTACCTGGGGATCAGATGCTTGTATGGCTTTAATTTGCTCAAATAAAGCTTAGTTTTTGTTTTGTCTTTTTCATTATTATCTAATTCTCGTTGTTTTATACGTAATAAGTACCGTTTCTAGTAACCATTAATGCGTCATCATTATTCCCTTCGGTTATCTCCGATCAATGGAGTTCCACCTAAAACCCACTTGGGTTTTTACGGAACTATATTTAGGAAGCTATATCTTTTTAAGAAAACAATTTAATTATTCCAATCCACCATTCCTTTCTTAATCAGAAACGTGATCAGTTTGTCTCATTTGGTCTAATCTCGCAGAACATACATAAAACACGGGTCGTTGATCAAAGGCCCGGGTGAATATATGTCAGAGAATACATTATCTGCTTAAATGATGATCCTTGTGGCAAATTATAGGATAAGAGGTAAATGAGGGCATGAAAACCAAATACATGCTACTACTGTTAGCTTTACGCTAAATGTGAACATGGTTTTACATCGAACAAAAACTACATCCATTAAAGTTTTTTATATCAATACATTTCTGAGCATCAAATCTGAATTGGATAAAGAACATGATTCAAGTGATCATATGATATTAATACTGAAAATTGTTATGCACATAAACTGCACAATTGTTGCATGCAATAAAAGTAAATGAACTGAACATATGAGATCTCAAAACTTAACCGGTGTAGTGTAAGGACCAACTAAATACAGTGACTGTAGTATGTATTGATGCTAACTGAACTACTGCCATTCTATAGATGCGAATGACATTAAATTTTTGCTTTTTTACAAAAATTGGGTATTCATAAACACATTTCGTGTTTGTGAATTACCAAAACCCCTAAAATATTGATAAAAACCACATCATTTTTACTAAAACGGGTTACAAAAAGAGAAATTGAACATTCTGCAACTAAATGATTCACAAAATGTGACCCTAAGTTGGTCGTGATCACGACACTCAAAAACGCCTAATCAGATCATTTGATTTGTATGGATCTACGATCATTTTGAAAAAAAGTGCACTATCAATAACTCTATCGGCATTACTGTCCAAAATCCAAATCAATCCAAACTATACCTTCTTTTAGTAACTGAACAACAATCGCAATGCAAAATCAGTACCACAGATACGTTTAAAGCAGCTCTGAGTTTGGTGATTAAGATCCGGTCAGATTGATCAAATTTTCGGAGGTAAAGAAACAAAAACTACTTAAAATCTATTCAAAGAATCGATATATTTAACATAAAATGTGCACCCTAAAATTATCGTATTGGATCATGAAAAAAGGAGATGTTATAATTGAGTAGGGAGAAGAATCTGATACTCAACTGGACACGGCGTTGTACGGCGGACGGCGGCCGACGGCAGTGGTCATTTCCCGGTCAAGGACACAGGCGTTAGCCTCCTCCAGTTGCTCATTGATTTTGAATACTTCCCTGGTTCATCGGCGAACTCCAGGTCCAGGCCTAGGCTTTTTATTGGGCCGAAAATGGGCCTATAAGAGCTTGAGACCCATCACACTAGGGATGGCAATGGTGTGGGGATGGGGCGGGCTTTGCAATCCCCGGCCCCGGCCCCGGTTTATACACACAGTCCACGGCCCCGGTCAACTTTCGGTCAACCCCGTGTCAACCCTCGGTCAACACCCAGTCAAATAAAAATTAATAAGTTTTTTCTAAGCATGATCAACATAACAACATAATTACATCATATCTAGTCTTGCCTAATAAAAATAATAAAATTGTAAAATTARCAATAATCCAAAGAAATGTAAAATTTAAAACAAGTGTTAATATAATTACATCATATCTAGTCAAAAAGAGCAGAAGAGGATTGAAATTTGGACATATCAATTACAAAGCCCAAGTCCATAAGTCCAACAGGCCGCACATTTCAATTATAAGCTCAAATAATCAAAATGTTAATATTTATATATATACCGGGTGCGGTGCGGGGCGGGTCGGGGGATACAATACCCGGCCCCGGCCTCGGTTTGCCTCTACCGGGGATCCCCGTCCCCAGTACCCGTTTTAGCGGGGAATCCCCGTCCCCGTCCGGGTTGAGTGAACCGGGTTCCCCACCGGGTCGGGCCAAATCACCATCCCTACATCACACATTAATTGACCGTCTTAGCTCGATAAATTTTCTCATTTTCAATGTTTTAGTTTTTAAATTATTATTTTTTATAAAAAAATATTAAATTTTCTTATTTTAAATGATTAAGCCCCTAAACTAATTTTTTAAATGAAAAAACCATGAAGTCCCTAAACTATTTTAAATGATTAAAACCCTGAATTTTTTTAAAAAAAATAAATCATCGAACTTTATTAATCGGCTAATGTAACTTTTTTTAGTTTAAAAGAATGTAGGTGACCAATTTTTAAAAGTGCGACAGTTTATTTATTAAAAAATGTTTAGGAACTTAATCAATCAAAGAGAAAAAGTTTAATGATTTTTTCATTAAAAAAAAAAATCAGGGACCTAATCATTTAAAATGAAAAAGCTTAATGGTCTTTTTCATTCAAAAAAAAAATAGTTCAGAGCTTTAATCGTTCAAAATGAGATAGTTCGTTAAGTTTTTTTTTGAAATTTTTTCTTTAGTTATGTGATTATACATAAAAATGGCATTAAATTTTAATATTTAAAACAGATAAAATATGTCAAATTTAATTAAAAACAATAATTTTTTTCATATATATTCAGTTATATGTTTGAATAAGATAAATTATTAATAAAATATTGTAAGATTTTTCATTAAACTTGGAAGGTTATACTTATTTTTAACACTAGAAGAGTACTCGCGCAATGCAGCGAGACACATCTCGATTTTAATGTTTTATTTTATTATTTGTCTATGTCGATGTTATAATACGATTTTATGTGTTTTTAAGATATCATAAAATTTTGAAAAAAAAATATCAATGTTAATATCAAATCAAATATTTAAAAGTTCTCATTTTTATGTAATTTCTTTAATTTATTTTTTTATTATAATTTAATTTAAGTTTAAAAACGAAATAATTTATTTTTGGATTAATATATAATATTTTATAAATGTAATAATTAAGTATTCTGTTAGAACTCAATGATTATCCTAATTATATGTTAGATTTTTTATATTTAAAATGAGATGTTTATCTTGTATTTGATTACGTTTATCTGCAGTTGTTACACGAATTCAGATATGGAGCTTTAATAAGTTGTACTTACGCACAATCTATTTGCAATCTTGAGTTTTAAGTAATATGCATTAATAAACAGTACATTTACGTATAAAAAGTGGTTTTTTAAGAATTTTTGTCAAATGATTTATAATATAGTATAGATAAGATAAAAAGTTATATTGTAATGATTTAGAATCAATCAGGTTTGGCCTGCATGCATGAGAAGTAATTCCCGTTGACGTTTTATTTACATTATTTTATTTCTATTGTTTTTTAATTATGACGACAACAAATAGGCTTTGACTTTTTCCTCGGACTTCCTCTTTTGTAGTATACATCAATTCCCGTGGTTTGGAGTTCGATTTGTTAAAATATCAAATACTTTTAATACGATCTAAACAGCTTTCTTGATTCCACCTCTCAATTACGACTCATTGAATTTAAACAAGTTGTCTTGCATTATTAACGAAACACAAATAATATCGATAGCATCATTAAAAATTAATAATTATTATTATTTTATTTCATTATATCGTGATAATTATTTTATGTTATAAAGTATTTTTCTTAATTTTTACATTTTATTGCATCCCAACATGTACAACTTTAATTATTAAGAAATATAAAATAATTTATGTCATATTCAAGAGCACAAATTCAAAGAGAATCTAAACGGTTTGGTCAACCATAATAATCAAAGAAGTCAAACGCATCTATCCGCAAAAGACCATGCAAGATGGACAAGCAGAAAGGAGTTTCTCTGGGTCAAGGTCAAACCCGACCAAATATATATAATATATTCCTTTTTGTTTCTATTAATTATTTTATTTTCATTATTTACCATTAAACACTAAAAAAAGAACACTAATAATATAATTATTTTTTTAAAAATTGTAATAATAATTAGAGTAAAATAAAGAGGACGGTTTCCATGGTTAATCTAATACCAGACAATTAAATTAAACAAGTCAAAGTGATGGATAGCCAAGTCATCTGGATTAAACAAACACCTTCTTCACCAGGGCCAGCAGCCCTTAAATGGCCACATTCAACTCCTTATATCTGCATCCAAATTGACTCCATATTTGCCGGTGCAACTCTCCTACCACAAATCGACGGTATATCTGGTTATCGCTCAACATACCTCGCTAGCTCGTAATGAGATATAGATCCAGTCAATTATAGTTATAAAACATCGTCTGAATGATGGATTTCTCATCTATATAAACCAATGTCTGTATGGGGATTAATGCTAACGTGTTGTTAATGTCCCTTTTGCAGGATAAAGGTAAAAGCCCATCATCGTATGCTAAAATCGGGCCTGGCATGAACTACGGCATCCTACCATTGTTTTCATCCTCTCAGCTACATTATTTCGGTCAGTATATATTCTTAACACTACTGCTACTTGTCTTTATGGACTTAACGTAGCGGGTAACAAAGTGGGCATCCTTGCAAAATGCAACAGATTTTAAAAACCCCCCTACTAAGCTCAAACTTGTGGGGTCATCAATATTTTGACTCAACTAACACATTTTTCCGATAAATCAACATACAGGACACATGAGTGAAGCCTCATCCTCCTCCTTCCCTGATCAGGAACTTGCAGAAATAGTACAGGACAACAAAACGTATGTATATATATTGATATCTATGTATCTTCTCGATATATAACACCCCCAATGCAATTGCCATTCTTGTTTCCTTACTTATAACTATCTGTGTGTATATTAACAGGACTTTGTATAGCAATGACTACCATCTTGAACCAGAATTGTACTACTACGATCAGCAGCCTGATCCTAGGGCCATTGATGTTCCTCTTCAATGTCCCTTGATGATCAACTACCATACTGCAGGTGTAGATAATAATCATGGTTCTACACAGCAACCGCTGTCTCCCAGAAAGAAACTTTCAGATTGGCAATGTCAACAAGTATGTTTATTCGGCTTTGCGAAAAGAATTAAGTTTAAGAACAAAATGTCATTCCCCTAACCTCGTGAATGATTTAGAGTTTCCGGGAAATTGAGAATCCTAAGAAGCGTATGAATGATGATCGTGATCGAAAAGTTGCCAACAAGAAACTTGCACACCAGGAACAAATGCAAGAAATCGAATGTGTAAGAGAAAGGGTATGTTATCCCTGTGCTCACACCAATTACACTTTCAAGTTTTAGTAATCCGTACAAGTTTCAGTAGCTAATAAAACAAGTTAAAACTTTGCTATGTGGTAAAGGTGCCTATGAGGAGAAGCCAAAAGCTAGCTGACAAGATTACAGCCCTTCAAAAGCTTGTCTCTCCTTATGGCAAGGTCAGGCTTTACTACAACCTTATTCCGTGTTAAGATTCCATTTGTTTTATCCAATTTATTTCGTTTTCCCTTTATTTTGTCGGTCCTACTTTCATGAAATGAAGAGAAGCGCAAATGAATCTCGCTATTTATTTGGTCCCCTATGCAGACCGACACAGCTTCTGTGCTTCAAGAAGCTCATATCTCTATCAAGCTCCTTCATGACCAGATTCAGGTATACTTCATTTTTCTAGAGGGGAATTTGTAAGAGACAAAACCATTATCGGTCATTATTCCAATAGGGGTTTTCTTTGGTGAACAGAACTTGCTGCAGAAGACACAGACTTCAACAATCAATGATGGATCACTCCAGTTTCAGGTAAAATAAGATTTATATCAATCTTACATTATCAGGTTTTGACTTCAATCGGTGCATATACCCTATGTGTTTGGTTTATAATTCTGGTTTCTAATTCAGGAGACAGAAACCGGCCTACACAACAGAGGCCTATGTTTGGTTCCCATATCAACTCCTCAGATCAACAGCCTATGTGAAGGGAAGCAGAATTTTATGCCCAGAAGCTACTAGTATACTAATGCTAGTGATCTAATAGAATCAACCTAACCATTCCCCCGGCTAGAACCACTCGTATCAACTATAGCATAAAAGAGATGGTAGTACTTGTATAGACGTGTAACTTTAAGAAACAGTCAACTGTAAGAGTTACCAAAGAAGATTGGCATGAATGCACACAACTTGTAATTGAAATGAATCCAAATGGTGATATGAGTAGTTCATAATATATGTTCGGGCATCCAAGTTTTGCATTCTAGAAATGAAGATGCAGATTCAATTAGCATGGCTTTTAATAACATCAAGACCCACCTCTGTAGGATCGGTTGCTTGCAACTCCACCTGAACACCATCAAGCTCTCTCTTGAACCTATCTTTGGAGCTTGGAGAAATCATCTTGCTTCTCACCCTTGCAGTGTCCGGAGACCTTAAAACTGACCAACGAGATAGTTTAAGGCGTGTAAAAGACAACTTTAAATGCAGTAATGAACCATCCGAAGGATAAAGAAACCGTTAAAAATGCCATCATCATGCAACAAAGAAGGTCCTGTTCTTTTGGCAATTTTTGTGGTCAGGAAATCAAAATCATGTTAGTGACAGGGTCGGATCCAACTTCCACAAATGGCATCAACCAAACACATCCTGAATTTGGTGAAAAGGAGAGCCAGTCATCAACCTCTTAAGCTCAAAACATGTAACTAGCAGGCAAAAGGAACCCCAAAGTCCCAAACGATACACCAACAGCCCTTGTAGAATCCACTTAATCTCATTAGCATTTGTGCAGTGCCCATAAAGCCAATCTGTAATGGTACATAACAACTGATAACTTAGCTACACGCGAACTATTATTGGGTAAACTCTAGTTTAATATGTTCATAGATGTGATGCTATCTAATAACTTTAGCATGTCTATTAAAATACAAAAATTCCTAGAACCAGCCAGTGCTCGATTATTCCGGGAAATTGACCAAAATAGTCAATCTCTCCAACCAAATTCAATTTTTAGCCATTTTTTCAATCAAATTCCCATTTTAGCCGGAGTTTACGCAAATTGCCTAAAGCCTATTTTCAGATTAAATAGGAAAAAAAATTACGCAAATTTGCGTAAGGATCCCATTTGCATAAACATTTTTTTTTAATTCTGAAAATAGGGTTTATGCAAATGCTTGAGCATTTGCGTAAACTTTGACTAAAATGGGAATTCGATGCCAAAAGTGGCTAAAAAGTGAGTTTGGTCGAGTAGATTGGCTATTTTGGTTAATTTCCCGATTATTCCACTACGAAGCCCCGCAAACATAAGTAAGGGGCTTTTTTACCAAACGTTTACCAAGGTAAGCGCTTACCAAGTCATATTACCTTACCGGATCAATATGGTAAGGACCAAGAATCTTATCCGGAAAAAGCGAGACAAGGACCAGGAGTCTTAGCCGGTAAGTGAGGGCGACGACTCTTGCCATAGTTAGCGCTTACCGGGTAAATTGTTGCATACAATGTCGTTTTGGTGGACTAAAATCTTATCCCGTAAATAATAGTGTTAAATTTTACCGGACCAGAGTTTATGGACTAAAATCTTAGCCGGTAAGTAAGTGTTTGTTAAACGACCTAAGACAGATAGAACAAAGCTCACATCACATGGACCAAAGAGTCTATGGCCTAGCGGTATCCGAGCCTCTTGCCTCCTAGGAGGTGAGAGGTTCAAACCTCACCAACGGTGAGGAGGACACGTGAGTTTATTTGTTGTATTTGTCATACATAAATTATATTATATACTTAAAAAAAACAAAGCTCACAGGGGTGAAAAATCACAGAACAAGATATCAAAAGGCATCTAATCAAGCATCTAGATCTTCCATTGACCCTTCTACATTACATTGCTTGAACCAAAAATGGTATTGCTTTTATAGTCAAAATTTCAACTCAAAAATCTAAACTCATTCATAAATTTCTGTAAATTTTTCATATTCACACAAACTACCATGAGTTGAGGGCAAACCATTCGTAGAATGCATTCAAGTAATCAGGCACGTGTCATCTAACAGATTGAACAGCGACCCGAAGAAGGATCAATGTATGAGAGGACTGAGGAGACGGTTTCAAATACATGAACCACCTATAGGAACAAAAGTATAATTTTCTCTAAAATAGATGCACATCTTTTATAAAAAATAAATTACTAAAAGACATTGTATATTCAATAGAAAATTAAAATTTTTAAATAAAAATATTATTATTTTAAAAATAATTAAATTGACAAAATAACTTTTACGTTGTAAAATCTTAAGTTTAGAAACAAAGAAAATCTAGAGATTTTGGGTTGGAGATTGAAATATGCAAGCAAAGTGTTGGAAAGTAAGTACAATTAACGCGAGATTATTAATATATATATATAATCAAACTATAAATAATAACAAAATTAAAAATATATATTATAAATTAAGAGTAGAAAACTATTGTCAAATCCTACAAGAATAATTATATGAACAACTATAAAGAAAACGTTTGTTAAAGAACCATATAGAATATATCATATTATTATGTCTTTAATATTTTTTTTTGATTGTTATATCAATTTAATTGTTGTAATTTATTCATAATTATTTGATAATTCAATTTTATGATTTTTCATAGCATTTTAATTTTTAAAACGTGATTATTTTTTTCATAACAAGAAATATTTATCTTAACAAACAAATCAATAAACTAACCAATTAATCAATAATGATTTTGTAACAATAACCATATATCCATTTTTTAAAATAAAATAACGTCACCAGTTGAACGTTATTTCTAGGTCTGCCTCTAATTTAGTTGTTTACTTTTGTCAAGGAAATCACACATCATGGTTAAGAAGGTTGAAATGATTTCTTATATAGGGGGTGTTTGGGATTGTTTATAAAAATAACTTATTGACTTATTCCGGTGTGACACCGGTAATAAACACTTTTGAGTGTTTGGATAAACAACTTATACCGGTGTCAAACCGATAATAAGAAGTTTTTGAGGAAGTTAAACCCTTCTGACTTATAATAAGTTGATAAATGTTTTTGTAAAAAAACATAATTTGTTTCAAATAAGCTTATCCCAAACACCCCTATATTTCCGTCTTATAGCATTTAATTCATCCATGTGTATGTTTGTATTTTTGGAAAAAAGCTCATTTGATATCCCATCTTGTAGTCACGTTTGTTACTAACATTTTACTGAGCGGTATATAAAAGAGGGTCCTCGATAAGTATGAAAAAAAAAAATTAATATATTGTTTTTATCATAAAAAATAATATTGAATTCAATAAATACTAATAGTTCATATAAAATTGTTTATCCGAGTATTCCTAAACACAAAATCATTCAATTTTAGTTATTTCCAAATTAATGTTTCTACCATATCATTTTTATATAGAATCAATTTGTTCCATCATCAAAAACATATTATGATATACCTTTAATATATAGATCGACATCATTTAAGGTCACAATGTTAGCTATTCGGAGTAACACTTTCTGTAAATTAATACATATCAGTTGGATTTTCATCTCACCTCATGTTATTGTTTTTAATCATTGTTAAAACAAACTTTTTTCAAGACAATCAATCTTAGAATACAAAATACATGTTGGATATAGCTTGAGATCTTATACATGTTTTACAGGTAGGAGAGTACTTAAGATTTATTCACTTGCAATTAGGTAACATTAAGGAGACAATAATGTATGAAAAAATAAGGGTGGTTTTTTAACCGTCTCATATGGTTGGTAATTTCTTTTCAAAAGGTAAGAATTTTCTTAGTTGGACCGTCTCATATGCCAATGTAATAATCAAAAAAGTTAATAGGCTATGAATGATAAACAGTATATCAAGGTATTCTAGGCAAGTAGTTCAGACTTTGGTACTAAATAAAAAATTTAGAGAAACAATAAGTAATAATATAAAATGAACGATCATATTGAAGAAATCTATTTGCTTAACCCATGAAAGGCCATAAGCCGGGGGGCGGTCATAACATAAGGTTGTTACCTTCACACCTCTCTCTCTCTTTATATGTAGATATCTAAAAAGAGAGAGACCCGCTCAATTAATATTTTACATATTTTTTTCTCCAATATAATTAAATAATACATGTTTTACCTCTTAATATAATATTAAATTCATTTTGGATCCTATTATATACCAAAGAAATTGTCCATTTCATATACTCATTTTTTTGAACTACTATTATATACTAGGAAAAAAAATTAGACCCTTATTTATTGTGGGCCCTGAGCATGCACCCGACCGGCCATCTTCAAGAACAACCCTGCTTGCAGTCAGGGGAGGACATATGAAGGCCCAAATGGGGTTATGCACATAAGCTAAATCAATTTTTACAATAGTAGGATATTTTCTGAGGTATGAAAGATCTACATGCTAAATTTTGAGGAGTGCTACGAAATATTGTAATATAAAAAGGGACATCAACCAAAAAATCGAAAACCCCTTTACGTGCTAAATCCACTGCTCCTTGCATGAGTCAAAACAAAAGGCTTTGCTAATACCTCAAAAACGAGTTTCGATCAAAACATGTCATATTTAAGTACGTGACAGGGTGGATAACATGTCAAGACATTTGACTCATGATGAGGAATGAAAATGACAAGGAATGAAAACGAGAATAAATTTTCATTCCCCCCGTTTAATCAGGAATGAAATTTTAGGCTCATGGAGAAATGAACTCATTATATTATAGAAAATCAAACAATTTATTTTATTTTCATTATATTGACTACTATTTAATACCTCTAACCAAACACTGGTTGTTTGTTTTTTTATAGTTTTACAAATAATCAATATAATAAAATAACTAAAAGGGTACCCGCACAATACAACGAGATACATATTTATTTTAGTATTTTTTTTGTCTTTGTTAATATAATACGATTTATGTCGTTTTGAGAAAGATATTGTTTTTACTTTTGAAACAAAATAAATTTGAAGATATCATAAAAATTTGAAAAAATATATGATATTAATATATAAAATTAATTATTTAAAAGTTTTTTTAATAAAATTTCTTAATTCAATTTTTTATTATAATTTAGTTTAGGTCTAATAATGAAATAATTTATTTTTGACTTAACAATATAACTTTTATAAAGATAATAATTCTGTTAGAACTCAATTATTATCCTAATTATATTTTAAATTTTTTTGTTTAAAATGATATGTTTATCTTATATTGATTATGTTTATCTTGTATTTGATTATTGTTTATCTACAGTTAGTTATACGAATTCAAAAATAGAGTTTTAATAAGTTATATGTATACACAATTTATTTGTAATCTTAAATTTTAAGTAATATACATTGATAAACAATAATTTATGTATAAAAAATGGGTTTTAAAGATTTTATCAAACGTTTTATAATATAGTATAGATATTGTTTTTCAAATAACTCGATTAAGGTCGTGGGTAAAAGGAAATGACGAAAATGACCCTCGCTTGTGTCTGCCTGTGCCATCATCGTCAACACATTTCTATCTCACTTCCCGCGCTACCTCCATCGTCCTCCATGAAACTCGAATCAAAAGGATGAAACGGAGACATCTCTTCCTCAGGTTCAGTCATAATCATCCATTGCCAAGATCCCTCGATTTCCTCTTCAAAACCTTCTCTAATCTTTCTTTACAATTACCCACAACCAATTATCACCCTCACCACCATCTAATCAGCCTCATCTCTACCAGTAAAACCCTAAAACATCTTCTCCAAATCCACACCCAATTAGTAATCTCAGGCTTCATACAAGACAATATCACAAACACCCACCTCATAGAATCTTATTCATTATTCAAAAAAATCAATCTTGCTCGATTAGTTTTCAATGCGACCTCAAACCCAAGTGTTATATTATGGAATTCGATTATTAAAGCTCATATAAGATCAAACCAACATCAAGAAGCAATTCTTATGTACAATAAATTGTTAAACACTGATTCTTTTGCAGGACAACCGGACAAGTATACTTACACATTTGTACTCAAAGCTTGTACTCACCTTTTGGATATTGAAGATGGTATCTTGCTTCACGAAGAGATTGTTAACAGAGGTTTGGAATCCGATGTTTTCATTGGGACTGGACTTGTTGATATGTATTGTAAATGTGGGGATCTGGTTCACGCACGACAAGTGTTTGATAAAATACCTAACAAAGATGTGGTGGTGTGGAATGCAATGATAGCTGGGTTATCACATAGTTCTGATTTTGCGCAGGCGGTTGAGGTATTCCGGAGCATGCAGCTTCAGGGTGAAGTGGAGCCAAATAGCGTCAGCCTGTTGAATCTGTTTCCAGCAATTTGCAAGTTATCAAGTGTTAGATTGTGCAAGTGTATTCATGGGTTTGTGATCAGGAGAAATTTTCCCAAAGCCATTGTGAATGGATTGATTGATGTATACTGTAAGTGCAAAAGTACAGATCTTGCTTACCGGGTCTTTGAGCTAATGCAAGAACCAGATGATGTTTCATGGGGTACACTGATGGCAGGATTTGCGCTTAACGGGTGTCATTATGAAGTCCTGGAATTATACGATCAGATGAAGAACAGTCATCTAAAGGTAAATGTTGTATCAGTTGTAAGTGCTTTATCTGCAGCTGGTGAAACGAGAGATTTAAAAAAGGGAAAGATGATTCATGAATGTGTCAAGAAAAACAAGTTTGATTCTGATATTCGTGTATCTACTCCTCTTATCACAATGTATGCAAAGTGCGGTGAGTTAGAAAAGGCTCGAGATTTATTCCACAGACTTTCTGGAAAAGATATGGTGGCTTGGTCTGCAGTTATCGCTGCTTTTGCACAATCTGGTTATCCTGAAGAAGCACTTTCTCTATTTCGGGATATGCAATATGCCAGTTTCAAACCAAGTATGATAACAATAGTTGGTGTTCTTCCAGCTTGTGCAGAGTTGTTCTCCAAGAAACTGGGAAAAAGTCTGCATTGCTATGCTGTTAAACACAATATGGATTCTGATATTTCGATAGAAACTTCCCTCGTGGCCATGTACGCTAAATCTGATGATTTCACTTCAGCTGAGCTTGTTTTCTATAGAATGTTTTACAAAGAAGTAGTGGCATGGAATGCTTTGATCAATCGGTATGCTCAGATTGGTGAGGCTGATCTTGCATTCAAGATGTTTAGCAGGCTACAGTCATCAGATGTGCAACCTGACCCTGGGACTTTGGTGGGCGTGGTTTCAGCTGCAGCCCATTTGGGCGATCTAAATCTAGGAGGCAGCATTCATGGGCTTGTTACGAAATATGGGTTTGAATCAGATTGTAATGTGAATAATGCTCTTATTGACATGTATGCCAAAAGCCAAAGCCTTGCCTCTGCTGAACTGTTGTTTTGTTTAACCAAAAGGAGAGATCAGGTACTGTGGAATGTAATGATTGGAGCATATATGCGCCATGGATACGGTCAAGAATCCATTTTTACATTCCGCCAAATGAAAACTGAAGACTTTCGGCCTAGTTTAGTCACACTTGTGAGCGTACTTCCAGCAGCAGCATATTTAGCAGCCATAAAAGAAGGGTCTGCTTTGCATGCTGATATTATCCAAACGGGTTATCTGTCTCATACCGCTGTTTGCAACAGTCTTATCGACATGTACTCAAAATGTGGGCGTGTTGATTACGCAGAGACTGTTTTTAACGAGATCAACGTTAAAGACACAGTTTCTTGGAACGTAATGCTGGCTGGATACGCATTAAATGGCCGTGGGGATCATGCTTTTGGTTTCTTTTCAATCATGCAAGAAAATCTTGTCGAAATCGACCCTGTGTCGTTCGTCAGCGTGTTGTCAGCTTGTCGGCATGCAGGTTTAGTTGAGGAAGGCAAGAATGTTTTTAGTTCAATGAAGGTAAAACACCATATGGAGCCGAAGTTAGAACACTACGCTTGTATGGTTGATTTGTTGGGAAGGGCCGGGTTGTTTGATGAAACTTTGGCGTTAATCGAGTCGATGCCGATGGAAGCTGATGCTGGAGTTTGGGGGGGTTTATTGGGTGCATGTCAAATGCATTGTAATGTGAAGGTAGCAGAGTTAGCTTTAGATAATCTTGTGAAGCTAGAGCCAGGAAACCAAGCTCACTATGTGGTTTTATCGAGCATATATGCAGAATCCGGCCGATGGGCCGATGCAAGAAGCTTGAGGACGAAGATGATCGACATGGGACTTAAGAAAACTCCGGGGTATAGTTGGATCAACGAAAAGCAAGATCTACACCTGGTGGAGGGATGAGAAGCCGATCATATAGAGTCATGGATTCGAACCTCTTTCTAGTAGTAAATCGAACCAAACAAACAAAGTATATCTCCAACGTCGAGGAAATGGGCCTCTAAGATAATTAAAAAGCAAAAATCATTTTATAAAATGACTATTTGCGTAAAAATCTTTAATGATAAGAACTCTCTAAAATTAGATGTTTCATAAATAACTATTTTTTAATATTTTCAGTTATTATTGTATTATAAAAGATAATAAGATTATTGGGTTTAATGTTACAGATTTTAAGATGAAGAAACGATGGGAGTAAATTGTAATTTATAAATTACAAGGGCGGTGCTTGATTGGTTTGAGCTTGGCTCCAAAAGTCAAAAGTACCTGGAGGTCACAGGTTCAAATCCAAGAAGGAATAAAAATCCATTTATGGCTACGAAGGTTCAAATGCGGTGAATCAGGATTATCTGCAAAGCAGATGGTCGTTCTGAGATTAGTCGGCTTACATAGCGGATTGGATATCCGGTTAATAAAAAAAATTATATAAGAAAAGTTCTAGATGATCGTTGAAGACTTGGAGATGCTCAATTTTAATGGTTATTTTGTAATTTAATAATATAATTATCAGATTAATATTTAAAAGAATTTACAAACTTGGGTTCATAGCTCAGTGGTAGAGCATTTGACTGCAGATCAAGAGGTCATCGGTTCGAACCCGGTTGAGCCCTTTTTGCTTTTATTTTCGGATTTGCACGGTCAACTCTACGATTTCTCTTTTTTTATATTTATTTCCTTATTTGTTTATTTTTATTTTAAGGAATGCTTTATTTCAATTTAATAATTTTTTTTAACTTGAATATCCAACATGCTATGCAAGCCGACTAATTCCAAAACGACTACTCGATTCGCTGGTAGTCTGGAGTCATCGCATTTGAATCTCCATGGCCACAAGAGATTTTTATTTCTTCTTGGATTTGAACCTGAGACCTCGAGACACCTTTGACCTTTGGAGACCAAGCTCAAACCAATCAGACATTATCCTTATGGTTAATTTGATAAGTTTGAATAATATACTTAATCAAAATATTCAATTTTAATTTGATATTCAAGAGTCGTTTTCGAAACCTTAATAATGTAATTTAATTTTAATAAGAATGTGCTTATCGGATCATTTATTTTACTTGATGAACATAGTTCAAGAATATTCATCTTGTCAATTGATTTTGAGTAGCTTTGTCTAGATTGGACTCCTACCGAGTAAGTGTTTGAATAAACGACACATTACTTAACACGGTAACTCAACCCGCCGTATGTTAATGGATTTACATGTTTGTTTTGTTTTGTCTTTTTCCTTTTTCCCATTTTACGTCCACGTTATTTATTGATTAAGAGTTGAATGCATTCTTGCATCTATCTCGCTCATTTTTATTTTATGAAAAATTTTACACATTATGTTAAAATATTCAGTGATATTATGTCTCAATACATTTTTACAAATAAAAATATAAAATAATAATAATATTTCATTGGTGAAAATGGATAAAAGATCATATATTAATACATGTCATTTTTAGTTTACCTGTTACCTGATGTATAAGTAAACCAGGTACTTAAAAGTTTGAGATTTCACATCTCAGGTATTAAAACGAAACTTTTGAAAGTACGTTACCCAAATAAGAATGAAACTAAACTATGTTACATTTTCATGCAATTTGTCTGTTGGTGTTATAGTTTGAGAGTTTATTCTTATTTTAGGTAATTAGGAGTGAATATAGATAAAAGTCGGACCATCTCATATGGTTGGTAATTTTTTTAAAAGAGAAGTAGTGTTTTCTTAGTTAATAAAAAGAAATCTATTATGTTCTAATACAAAAGAGTAGGCCAAATGCATCCTACCTATTCATTTTCGCTTCAATTTTCACACACATTAATATCAAGGCTTACTTATTACATTTTCATTGCATGACTTTACTTGATTTTAACATAAATAAGGGTGCATATAGCAACACTCATACAAAAATAAAATTCATGCGAATGTAATAATCAAAATAGTCAATTTCAAATGAACGGTGAAGAATATATTAAGGTTTTTACGCAGGTAGTTTTAAACTTTTGGTACTAGATAAAAACTTAAAGAAACAACAAAAATACTATAAATTGAATGACTGGTTAACTTATTTAATATTCTGTTCTCTAACATAATTAATTAATACATGTTTGGGCTGTTAATATAATACTAAATTCTTTTTGGGGTTCTATTAGATACTAAAAAATGTATCTTTTATTAAGAATTTTCTTTTAAACTACTGTTGTATATGATAGCTATATTTTCTTGGTTTAAAATTAAAGTTAAAAAGCCTTTTATTTTCATCATTATGAGAAAATAATATGTTTATTTAATCTATATTATCTTTTTGTTTGTTTGTAGAAGCCTAGCCCAAAAAGAAACATTTTTGTGGACTTCATCAAGGCCCACAGTCCAGCAGCCCAGCAACAATAGCAGTCCAACAGCAACAATAGCAGTCCAACAGCAGCAGAAGCAGTTTCTGGAGAGGCAGCAAGAGATCGAGAGAAATCGGCAGCAAGATGGAAGACGTGGGCAGCGAGACGGAAGACGTGGGCAGCGAGACGGAAGACGTGGGCAGAGAGGGATCGAGGGAGCAAAGTCGGTGGATAAAAGAGGAAGCAAAGAGCCGTTCCAGGGGGCTGGTTCGTTTTTGGAAGCGGCCGACAGCAAGAAAAATCGAGGGCTGTCGATTAGAGGCAGAAATCRAAAAGGATCGAGAGCGAGGACAGCAGGTGRCTGTCGATTGAGGGCTGTTGGGTTGAAGAGAGAGTCGCGAGGGTGAAGGGGACAGCAGGAGGCTGTTCGGTTCGTGAAGGAACGGGAGAAGAGAGAAGCTGTCGACAGGAAAGGYTGTTYGAGAGGAAGCGGACAGCAAAGCAGACAGCAGGCTGTCGATTGGAGAAGAAGGAAGGACGCAAAGGAAGAAAAGAGGGGCTGTTCGTTTGGAGAATACGGATGCGAGATTGAAGCGGACAGCAGTAGGTTCGATTGGAGAAGACGACAATTCTCTTATCAATCTTTCTTGATTCTTTCGGTAAGTCCTAAAACCTTTAGAACCAGTAACCTAGTTATGTTTTGCTAAGTTTTTCATTCCAACATTTGGTTTAATTAGGTTTTGAATTGTTATTGCCTTGAGATTTCATTGTAAACATGTTTGAACAAGCTTATTTGCTTGATTTCTGAATTCAATGTTTATCGCATTTGGGTTTTCAATTAGTCTAGCTAACTGGTTGGAAATTTTTTATGGAATGGTTATTCAAGATGCTTAGATACGTAATTGTCTTAGAGTTTTGATAGARTAACAATAGTATTCATTTGGTTTCGATAAGGTTTCCGGATTGAATATTTGAAATCTTGCGATTAGAGCCTCGATAAGCCGAGCTTATGAGCTTATGGCTTTGAATTGGTAATTTTTTCTAGTCCGGTAAAGCTAGTCGCACCTATGAGTTTAAGAGCTTATTTAAACTTGTATTTGTGGTTAAGGGTTGATTAGAGAGCTTATTTTAGTCAACRATTATCTATGGAAAATGCGGGTCGTTAGAGCTTGTTAACGATTAAAGCCAATTCGGGCTTGTCCTTTCCGTTTRCATTTTTGGAATCGATGATAGGCACTAACATCTTAACTGGTATTAAATCGATGTTGGGATTTTAATCAATTGTTTTAGTTCATATTTTATCGCATTTTTTTAGAGTAATTAATCAAATCCAAMCCCCMCCCCTCGTAATTATTAGTATTTTTACGCTTTYACCGTGTACTTGATTTGCTAGTCGTATAACATTAGACCGAGTCTCTGTGGATTCGACCCGACTTACACTACTACAATTTTGGTTGTAATTAGTCGTTAGTTGGAATTTATTATTTGGTGGACTCGGCATCCGTCAGTATACAAAAAGAATTGGGTGCCTGTTTCTTGTGGGCCCTCCGCCCTCCATCCCTCGAGGACCTTGACTGCAAACTAGTTATGATGAGAGATAAAATTTGGTTGATAAGGTTTTGAGGGCTCTTCATTAAAAAAAAAACACAAAAGATTGTGATAATCTTGATAACTGGTGCATCATGTGTTATTTTACATAATTTTTATATGACTTTAATTCAAGGAGTGTTTGGTTCAGACAAATGAATGAAAATGAGGATGAATTTACATTCTCCTCAGTTTAACCTGAAATGAAAATTTGGGTTTTTGGGAGAATGAACTCATTATATTATATAAAAACAAATCATTTCCATTATTTTCATTCACATTGATTATTGCTTAATACCTCTAATCAAACAACGTTAATGTATTTATTAACATAACTTGTTCCACAGTATGTCTGTTTCACACACACACACACACATATTTGTTTTAAAATGTGAACATCTCTTTATGTGTTTCTGAAACAAAAAAGTTTATCATTGTAAACCAAATATACATGAAGCATACATATTTTAATACAAATATATGTTAATCAATATATCAAATTATAGTTTTAGATGGAAACAATATGTAAAACTTCTTACAATTATCACTACATACAAGATTTTTATTTGATTATACCCGTTTATATGATACATGCAGGGGAAATAAGTTGTAATAGGAGTAGTCAATGAGACGATAATATCTACCATGTGCAGTTCAATTGGCAAATTAAGGGTGAATCGACTTTACCCAAATAAAATATAGAATCCGAGTTTGACACCAGGCCCTCCTGCCAACCTTAGGGGCCGTTTACCAAATGCTTACTCAGGTAAACGTTTACCAAGTTATATTGCCTTACCAGATGAATATGATAATGACCAAGAATCTTACCCGGTAAGAGCGAGGCAAAGACCGAGTGTCTTACCCGGTAAGTGAGAACAATGACTTTTACCATGGGTCAACTCTTATCGGCTAAATTGTTGCATAGAAAACCGTTTTTGTTGACTAAAATATTACCTACTAAGTAAATGATGGTGTTGAATTTTACCGCTAAATGCTTATCAGGTAAGTGTTTGGTAAACGGCCTTTTAGCCTTTAAGTGAGTAAAAAAAATGGCATTCATATTGTTGCCCTTGAAAGCATGCTCCAGATGAAACTGGTTGAGATTGCCGATAATCAACATTTTGTCAAAATATAGTAATCGATAATTGTGGATGCTCTCAAGACTAAAAATATATAAATTAAAAAAAAAGTTTATTAAGAATATCTGGAAAATAAGTTAATGAGATACGAATATGTAACAGAATTGTGACATGTGATTGGAAGGTGGTGGTTTACACAGCTATTAATTTATGATGGGCAAAAACGTCCAACAACAAAAAAGCCTCAGGTCCAAAAGTCATGCCAATCAGATGCATCCACGTGTTCCCCATCCACCTTAAAACTCTCGCTTTTCCAAATCTTCCCAAAATCATATTTTCACCGGCAAAAGAAGACATAAACCCTAACGATAAGATTCACAAAATTTACCCATTTCTTGGCGAAAATGACGGAAGGTCTCGACATGTCACTCGATGATATCATCAAGAACAACAAGAAATCCGGACGATCTGATGCTCATACTAGTCACAGAGGCGGAGGCGGAGGCCGTGGCCGTGGCCATGGTCGCAGTTTGGAGTCCGGTCCCGGCCCCACCAGACGTTTTGACAACCGGGTTATGAGCCGTACGAACCCTTATTTTGTTCCTCAGGTGGTGTTTAGGTTTTCTTTTTCGTGTATCTCAAAAGCATCTATTATTTTTATCGTGAATTCTAGAATTCTACATGATTACTCTGTGCATATTTGTGTGCGTGCAAATGTGAAGTGCAGTTTATAATTTCGTAAATAGTTGTGTATTTGAGTGGTGAAGTGATTATCATTCTGTGTATGTAAGGAATATAGATGTGAAGGAGGCTTAGGGTCACAGTTTTGATGGCAGGCTTTTCATATGCAAGAAATGCTGGTTGGAGGGGAATCGAATTTGGAAGCGGGGACAAAGCTATACATCTCGAACTTGGACTATGGAGTTACCAACGAGGATATTAAGGTAAAAAATCTACAGTTATTGTAGTTTTATTGTTCCTAATTTTTGTTGAAGAAATGGTGTTATGATTGTGTGTCTAATAATTGTTCATAGTACTTGAATTGGTGTGATGTCTTCAAGATTTCTTTTAACCATCACACATAGGGAGATGCTTACTCAAGAGGGTGAGGGAGAATTTTTCTACAAAGCTTAGCAATGTCTAAATTCTAGAATATTGGATTAACCCTAGAAGTCGAGGAACAGATGGGTTCTATATTTGGTCGAATCTTTATCGATTGCCAAATGGATGTGTAATAAATAGTTTTTAGATATAAACACATTAACTTTAGGTTAAGATGCCTTTGTATTCAAATTTGAACTTATTATTTAATGTGAAGGGCTCGATGAATGCTATTAGATGATATTAGATCGCTATTGGATGATATTTTCAGTGTGAATTTTACATATAACACCTTTAGAAGATGAAAGAAAGAAAATGGTATACAGAGGGGGAGGATCCGGTTAAATCATGATATCCAGAGCAATTTACGTTCTGGAAAATAGTTTCATGAATTGGAGTTTGCTGGATGCCAGAGCAGTCAAAACTGCTTTGTCAATACATGTAACTAAAAATAGGGGATGGATATCTTGATAGATTTTGCATCACTTTGCTCTCTAGTTTTCGGATTTATTAGCATATACACGTATCTCAATGTGCTTTCTATAAGGACCCGGAAAATCATATTATTTTAAGCACATTATAACGCCTTTTATTTTCCCCTTCCTGTGCCATGTAAGTCCACAAATCTAACAATAAATCAGCATGCCTTTTATTTCTTGTTTCCAACTATGGATAGCAAGACTGATTATAGTATTTATGTATAAAAGGATAATTGGTTTAATTTTTCATTTACCAGTTTTCTGGCTGTTTTATGTCAAATTGTATGCTGTGAAAAAGGGGAGTGATTACAGTGAAGAGATGATGCGAATTAATAGAATGATGTAGTTTTTTTTATATATGGTTCTAGTTGTGTTTGAATATATTTGTGAGTCGTTCAACTTTTTGTAGGTCAGACCAAGCCATGTTTTTAGCGACACATGTACCGTAATATAAACATTTGGATAATACGTAAACCCATCTTCCGACCAAGATTTTTCTTTTTGATTCTGGAAACACTTTGGCTTATTAAAAACTGAAAGTGTGAGATACGTATCTATGGATGTCTTGGTGTGTGCAACACTGTTGATATTTATTTGGTGCAAATGATTTAGTTGAAAATCTGGTTGTATGACTTTATATGCTTTATGGAATGCCACAACATTAAAATGTGAAATCAAGTAGGCTTCTTATTCAAAATTTTAACATATTTTGAGCAAAGATTACGTTTAATTACAAATAGTACTTGATATACTGTTGGATAGACAAATGCTAGAGTTAGGAAACTTTTAAAAGATCAGATTAAGGAAACGAGAACTATAAATGGACGTAGAACCTCTGGGATCTCGTTGTTTACCTAATGGTCCACCATGACTGAATTGTTACCAGTTATTGGATAAGGCCTATTCTTGATGCCATTCTAACTTCTTGTAATACAAATTTGGTAGGTATATATGTTCTTCCATATGTTATTCTTGAAAATGCATGTTCAATAGCCGTTTCTTTATAATTGAATATTAAGCTATATACACAGAGATACCTATACCTATACCTAAGCATACACATATACATGTGAATTGATATGATTCATTTTTTAACTGTTTGGTATGTTGATATCTGGATTTGAATTTTATAATGGATATATTTGTTATAGAACATGAATTTACTAAAGTTTAAATATTCAAATTGAGTGAAAAAACTCGAAAGATCATTCTCTACCACTTGCATGCATTACCAGGCCAGGAATACATCTAAATACGAATGAGAAGTCAGGAGATTTTGGCCAATGTTGCTATTTTTTCTGTCTTTAAACATGTTCTATTAATGCTATTCTTGCAGTATACTTGCCCTATAAAATGGTAACAATATAGTTATCGCGATCATGCTTTTTTGACAATTTGTTTGATAATTTTATTTTATTCTCTCGAGGAGGAAGGTGGGTGGAAAATGGCTGACGGTTGTTTTGTACACTTAGTTGGTATAGGAGGTGGAGTTGTGGAGGCATAGTAAAAGTTTTGTATAAGCGACTTCATAGATTCTTGGTGGAAATTTGCTGCAGATTGTTGTGAAAGATGTGAGGTTAAGTTGTAGCATGGGAACACATGATTACTTTCACATATAACTATGTGAGTGCAAAAATGTTTATATAATTATTTCCTGTATGTTTTTACAACGGACATTATTTTGCTAAGATATTTAAACTTGAGTCATTTATAAGTTCTTACTGCTTTTTAATACTTTTGCTGTCACTACTGTTCGTATTGTATCAAAGTATCATATTTCAGCCGGAATCTATAACCTGTCTTTCGAAATTCCATTGATACTTTCCTGTTTAGAAGAAGTTTAATGCACAAAATCTCGAATGCATTTTATTTGAGCTTTCTGCCCACACGAAATGGATTTAGATATCTATCACAATTCATTGGTTGGTGGTTGTTGCAATGGAAATCTAGTCATGAACTTCATACGCATGTGGTCCATCTCCAGGTACTGTTTTCAGATGTTGGTGAATTGAAACGCTACTCGATTCATTATGATAGAAGTGGAAGATCAAAGGTATATATTGAAGTCAAAATCCTTTTGAAGATATTAGTTTATGATCTGCTAGTGTCTTAAAAATAGTTTTGTTTATTTTTGTGACAGGGAACTGCAGAGGTGGTTTACATGCGGCAGCCAGATGCAGTGGCAGCAATGAAAAGATATAACAACGTACTGCTTGATGGGAAACCTATGAAACTTGAATTGGTTGGAATAAACATTTTTACCCCTGTTCCTATTCCTCCAATGCAAAAGGGGATATTGGGAAATCCAATCAATGCTTCTTCTCGAAGGTTCAAGTTCTCCTATATTGATCCTAGAAAGCTTCTTTGACGATTGTAGTTGTGTTTTGATTAAGTTTTGTGATTTGGGTGACAGCATCCAAGGTAGAATTGTTGGAAGGGGGCAAGAGCGTGTTGGCAATGGGAATCGTGGATCTTGGAGTGGGAAGAGTCGTGGACAGCAGCTGCATAAACCATCAGCTGAAGATCTTGATGCGGATTTGGAGAAGTATCGGCTACAAGCAATGCATATAAACTGATTAAGACTCCCAATGGACAGACATTTTTGCAGGAGATATGGAAACCAACCAAGATTCCTTGCTTGTATTCCAGTTATGTAGAAGACTATTAACAAGCGAACTTAGTTTTGATGTTTGGTTCTAGCATTTGATAGTTTACTGGCATAATTTGGTTAAAATCTGGTAAAATTCAGTGCCATATGTTGCTCTCATTTTTGGCCTTCTGATGTTTGTATTTCAGGTAATTTTGATCGTACGTTTCAAATACATTGCCATCCATATTTCGCAAAGATTTTGACTGTAAGTTTCAAATACAAATCATGTAATTCTTACAAACCAATTTTAACCGTCCTCTAAACTAATCAATATTTGATTCTATAAATATACCGACTATTAACTAATTTAAAGTCGTAATCATAATGAATGGATCATATCGTCTTCTATAAACATCTCGCTTACAATGAATGAATCATGACTATTGACCAAAAATATAAAGATTACTTTCTAGTAAATGTACAACAATTCGAGTTTTGTTAAAATGAAGGAAAAGACCAAAATAGGCAACATAAAATGCAATAGTTAACAAGGAAATTCCAACAATTACAAAAAGGAAAATGTATATACATTTGAAGCGTTAAATTCTGGCAACAACTATGTTACAAAAATGCGGACCCCAAAATCGAAATGAATTGAAAAGCAAGAACAAAAAAAAAGGCATACATTTACATATCTAAAGTTGATAAAAATTAACAAGATATGTACCACCATGCCATCTCACCCACACGCACAACAACCCCTCAATTTACTAATTCCCCACTTCCATGTTATATATATACTGTGATTGCAGCATATCCACAGTCCCATCTTGCAAGGGCTCCTCTGAGTCTGACAGATAGATTAATTGTTAAATTAACAAACCTTCCAACACCTCAAATCCAAATACAAAACCCAACTCTCCAGTCTCATCTTGTACAAGATTAATAAACACAAATCCACCACAACAGACCTTGCCTTCTTCAACTGCTGTTTTAACACAAAAAGGGGAAACAAGTTTATGATACATGAATATGTATGGGTAATTCAAATATTAAATCATCTACACTTGTTTATCCAGTTTCTAGAGATGGGGTTTTTTTCCAACTTTACTGGGTGCTCTCAAGGCCTGTGTATCAAGACAGCGGGACAAATGAAGAAAAGAAAAGAAAAAAATAGGTATCAAGACAGCTGGGAAAGGTGGAAAAGGGAATGCAAGAACACTCTTTTACTATAGTCCTTCACATATGATACATATGCGATATTAAATCAGAGACCCACACAAGCTTTGGGGCGACCTAGGTTGCAGGCTTCCGCACACCACTAGGCCGCTCACGTGTATTATCACATGTGAAAGGTGTTCTCGATGTGATACTATAATCCATCATATGTGATACTAGATCAAAGACGTGGACGACCTTTGGCGCGACTGTCAGCACACCATTAGGTCCTGAACCTTAAATCAACAAGACCTAATAGTAAAAATCATATATCTAGTTCTTAATGATGGAGTTATTTTTTTATTAGCATCTTTGAATTATTATAAGGAAAATCTAGATATTTTCCTAGTAAGGTGTGGGATTATTATAATGAAACAAGGCCCTTTAGGTGTAAGAACTTTTGAAACTAACTTCATATTAAGTCTAATCCTAGGGAAGTTATAGTGAGAAGCATAAGAAGGGACCTCCACCCTTAGATTAATCCTAATTGAATGTCAACACCAATGAGGTGCACCGAGATGCACCGAGATGCACCGGATCAATTCTCTTATAAAGCGCAATCAATGGGTGGGCACTGGGCATGGCATTAAAAGTGATCAAGGGCTCAGATCTCTTCTCACACTTCTAACCATAACTTCCCTTCTTACACGATCCTTCGCCTATATATACACATTATGAACTAATTTGATTCTCGACATGTAAGTATCAACCGATTATGATTTATGAGCACAGGAAACAAGATGAGAACCTAGGAAGGATAAATAGGCAGGATAAGCATATAACCAAATATTTATTGACAAAAAAAATAAGGGAGAGGAGAGTGTACCTGAAGACGCCGCCTTATTTGATACTTCAAATGAATGCGTACAAGTTGACATATGTATATTGGATGTCTTGTGTTCCGGTTATTTATTTCCACAACACACCGCTTTCTAAATTTCATCCCAGCGTCAAGGCTTGGCAGAAGTAACCACATCAAGAGTCCAAACGAAGCAACAGGGATGATAAGGATAGAAACATGGGAGTGGCTATGAACGAACATTTCTACAGAAAGCATTTAATTTACTCATTTTGGCAAGATTTAGAGAGCACTCATTCCATGTAGTCCACGTATTCCTGGCTTGAAATGTTCCTGATTCTTTGGACAACAACTAATATTTTTGACTTCATCATTTCAAGTTCAGCGTTGAATCACCAGAGGAGTCACTCGGAAGAGCAAAAAATTACTCCAAGCTAATTCCATAATCCTTCACTTGCTAACTGGAGCAGGCCACGCATCTGAAGGTAAGGATTCTCCAATAATTTCTCATTGTTACTCTGCAAATCACACACAAACCATTTAAGGCATGTAATTGTAATCAACGTCCCTGAACTGATGTCCAAGAACAGAGTTCAGATTATTCTTCCTTCTATCTTCTTTTCTAGCTCATTAGTCTTACTTTTTGCGAAACTTTTTGCAAGTCGAGGGGTATTCAAGGAAACATTTTCCTCCTCGGGTAGAGGAAAGGCTGTGTGCATCTTACCCTCCCCAGACCCCACTTTGTGGGGGATTAATTGGGTATTTGGGTTCTTTTGGTTTGGTTTAAATGAACTCCTCAGCATTCAAGGAAAATTTCAGTCCCATGGATTTATTGGGTTCTTTTGAGAAGGACCAGTGAACACCGGCACAAATTGCAATTACCATATTGATATGTGACAGAAAGCACATGGCTCCCTCCGTGATTGATCAGATCAATTATTTGGAATCACTTACATGTATAAGAGAAAAGAGTTCAACTGTGGATCAAATCGTTATAAATACACAGTGGTTTGTACAGGCCTGTATTGATCATCTCGTAGGAACTATGTGGTTGACATTTCCCAGAGAAATCATGCCGTTGTTTTACACAAGATTGACATGTTGAAAAACTAAAAGGAAGACCGAGTGATGCCACGGAATGTCCTTGCACAAACTGAATTACAAGTGGATTAAATGATTCATTCATCACATGATCAGCCCAACATCTTTTTTGTGGCAGCAATAGTTATGCATGACCTCAGGCGTGTTTATTTTCAGGCTGTCAACAGGGTGCTTAGAGATATTAGCCTACATTTAGGATAAAGTTATCTACCTTCAAAGACTTCGTCCATGTATGTAATGTCTTTCTTCACCATTCACTGGGTAACTAATTACTACTAGTCATCATTAGATAAAAACTGAAGCTTGTGAGGCTTTCTGTTTAGTTGGAATATTTGGAAGAACAGACAGTATTAACTTAGCTTGATGAGAATTATGATAATAAAAGAGAAATGAAATTCCCAGGCAGGCACCTCAAATAAGCACATGTTTGCACCTTATCCATTTAAGAATTAATAATAATAAAAATACGCTTTAGCAGACTTTATGATTAGGTTCTCATAGTAGTGTAGCGGACCAACATTCATGCATGCATATGGATAAATAGATATAACTATTGGCTCGTACGTTTCTCTTTGCGTGTGAATTTTTCTTCTTCCCATAAAACTCGACTTTGATTACTTATTTGACTATCTACAGACTCCAAAGTCGTTTTGTAAGTACAATATAGGGGCACACCTGTTGAGCTCTGGATACGAGAGACGAAAGCCCACGCTGATAATTATCTGCTTCTTCAGTCATCATCCTCTGCAAAATTATTTGTGTCAAAAAGATTGCTACGATGTTTATGCAGTTCATTTATTGATGGAGAAGGAAAAATATATATCTTTTAACCTTCAAAAGAAATGTTGACGAAAAATAAGCCACCCTGGAGTCAGTATCATCCAGTAGCTCCCTACCAAATAACATAGGAGTCAGTATCGAGTTGCGGCCCAAAAAAATCTAGTAGCTCCCTACCAAATACCTTAGGACCGATCAATCTGCTAGGATTACACAAAGAAGCGAAAACTTGACAAAGAGCATAAAGCTGAAGATTTACCTAAAGAATTCTTCTCCACCAACTTCTTTGAAAGCATCGGGATCTGCGGTGCATTTACCAATTAGCAGTAGCAGAAGGGTGGATCTGATATCTGATGTGGCACCAGGTAGGTTCCCTCCTCCTTTACTACCAACAGAAACACCTAGTGCAATGTTGTCTGTAGCTGCAGCCGCCAGTTGTATCAACGGCCAGTAAAATAAATCTGCAGGCACACGTGCAACCAATTGCATAGGAACAATGGCCTGTCCTTGAAGAAGCAATGCTGCCATTGATGCTGTCTCAGGGGTAGGATTGTCTGTGTTGCTGCCAAACCTGCCTTTACAATCTTCCACTGGTTCCCAGCAAAAGTTCTCTCTTAAAGGGAGGTCTTCCATCACGCTGGTCTTTCTATTCCAAACTGAGTAATTAAAACTCTTAGAACTACGCAATGTGTCTGTGGACGAGGATTTGTTTCCAGGAATAACTTTCAGGCACAATTGAGAAAATAGAATGTCGCACATCTATTGAGAACAGAAAAATAAATATAGAGTCAAAATAAATGTGGCAACAATTACATAACAAGATAAAACCATCATATGAGAAGTTATAACCGCATTATTAAGAATATCTTCAAGAAACATCACTATCCAACACTCTTCCTCTTCTGCAACCACCAGGCTCAACACCCCCCCCCCAAAAAAAAAGAATAGTGAAAAGGTAGACAAAGCAAGTACCCCTTGTGCATAGATAAAACCAAGGTTTTAAAAAACGGAATCTGGACTAGAGGCGTTGGTCTTTCACGCCCTGAGGCGCAAGCCTCGAGGCGTAAAACAAATAAAATTCATAAATATTAACAGTAAGGAAAACATAATTCCATACCAAACTTTAAACGTCATAGATTCATAAAATACTAGTTATAAGTCTAAAAACATATCAATCTACAACTTATAGTTCCCCGTAGCATGATCAAGTTGTATATCTCCACACTCGTATCCATAATCACTATCACTTTCATCTTCCAAATCCAAAGAAAACAGAAAAATAATACAGAAAACTGAAAATAATATAGAAAACAGAAAACAGAAAATATACAAAAAAAATACATAACACATTATACTAATAGAAAATGCATTATACATGATATAGAACATATATACTTGACTGAAATATATATAATATAATTACATTATACATAAAACTAAAAATATGGACACAAACTAAAAAGAATTTCCTTCTTGGGTTGGCCTTTGAGATGAATATCTTCTTGAGAGATGAAAAAGTTAGAAATGGAGAAGAAAAAAAATAGGGTTTGGAGAGGCGTGCACCTCAGAAACGCCTCACACCTCAACGCACAGCCTCACCAATTGAGGCTTAAGCCTCATCCAGGGACCATGAGGCGCCACCTCATGAGCGGTTTTGGACCGCCTCGCCTCAAGGCGTATGCCTCAAACGATGTTGAAAACCATGGATAAAACAGTGCTTCTAAATTGCACAGTAGGAAACTATGAATCTGAAACTCAAGCATTTAAAACTTTCATATGATAGAACTTACAAAAAGAATATGCAATAACTGTGAATCACATGGTATATCATGATCTACCACCTATTCCCGAACAATTTTGTTTTCCAACACATTTCCAATGGGCATTGTCTAGCACTTTAGCAGGAACTTATTTACTAGGCACTCGTCTTATAACATATACATGGCTCTATCTTTTCCTAAATATTCCATCATTAGTTGCCTCCCTAACTGTTATGTGCTCAAACCTCAGAATCCCATCATATATTAAACAGAAAAAGAATGCATCATTATCACCAAAAATTTACCTTCAAAATATTCATGCGATCTGTCACGTTTATCCGAGCCACCAAGGATAAGGCACTGCTCATAATGTCTATTACAGCATTTGCTTTATCAAGACGGGTCTTCCCATGAGCTTCATTACCAACTGAATGTTGTAGCTCATTTTCATCTAATAAAAATTTGCAGCGCATGAGAAGCCTCTCAAGAACAAACAGGAAGCCCCATCTTATGAGATTATTTTTCGATTTCAGAAGCCCACACATAAGCCATACGGGCAATGGTATTTCTAACTCAGGCGAATAATCATTAATAGAAGCAAGGGAAATTCTTGTATGCAAATTCTTTATGTTTGACCATATGGAATCCCCATCCTCGTTTATTTCTGCTATAAGCAGATCACCCAACCACACATACCCATTTTCACGAATGGCAGCTCTTTCTGAATGAAGAAGAGAATGCAAAGTGGCCCATGCAAGCTTCACCTTCAAGCCATAACTGTTTCTCAGAACTCCATCCTCAAAGCTCTTCAAGTACTTGTACGATTTTGTTAGTTCTGTCATGTGACTGAATTCTTTGTCCAAGTGAGTCAATGATCTTAAAAGTGCGTCAAACTTCTTCATGATCTTCTCTAAGAGCTGCAAAAAAACAAAAAAACATACAAAATAAATCAAAGGGACTAATCTTGAAATTGGTATATTTCCCAAGGAGCCACTAAATATTTGCTAGGTAAGGTAACTACTAAAAAGGGAATTGAGCGGGAATGCAATTCAGTTTGGTTCTCTATATGCTTTACCATAAAGCAGGAGACGTCATGGTAATAACTCAGGGAGCACCTTCAATAACTCAAATTAATTAGAATTAATGATGCTGTGATTGTTAAAATAACAGAAGAAAGATAAGAATCTTAGTTTTGCGGTTAGGCTGGTTAGCAGTAGTACCTACGTGAAAGAACATAATGATGGCAAAAACTAGAGACGAGCAGGAAGCTTGATATAAAATAAATACAAAAGTTTGATGGAAAGCTAACTGCACTAGTTCTGGTTGTGTGCATATTAGCAGATATAGTTCTTTATTCAAATACTAGAATATGATCCCTGAGGAGAAAAATTAGCAGATTTGGTAATGATGTGCCAGTGTAAGGAACTTCCTCATCTACTTTATAGTTTCATATATTGCAGCTGTTGAACAAGCATTATCGTACACATTAAAAAAATTCGACGTAGATGATCTTAGGTTCACAAAATTGATAAGATTACAAAAGGCTAAACACTGACCATCATGCCTTTAGAAAAATCCAAATGCATGTATTACCTTTAGTCTCCAAATCTATATCTAATATCTTAACAAGATGACAAGCATTCCATGGCAGTAAATAATAAAGAGCTGCCTTATGTTGATGAAAAAAATTCCAACCCAAAATGGTGAAACAGATTTATGCAGCAAAGACCAAAGTGGTTAAAGCGAAGATTTAACAAGATGAGGTAGTTGAGATAAGAACCAAGTCTTAGCAGAATCAGAAACACGAGAACTAATGCACCAAAACTGAAAGCTTTGTCTCTACCATATTAAGTCTTTCACTGTTGGAGTATCTGGGTAACGCGGCAGAAATCGACCTTCTTAAAATTTCCCCAATGCCTTCTATGCCAAGCTTGACGGAAATATGTAAAGCTTCTGGTGCATCTGCAAGGGTTAGCAAGGAAGCTATTGGTTGAATCTCATCATTGCTATACTCAGAAATTCCAGTGGCTATGCAACTCTCATTTATTTCATGCACAACATAGTCAAAAAGCACCAGGTATAGATTTCTCCTGCCTTCTCTAGAGTTTGAGATCACTAGCTGCATATGCAAAAAGGACCATCAGCTTTCAGTGTTCATGAAGTTTCAGTATTTTTATCATGCCAAAACACTACATAGGATTTTAACAGTGCCTAATATTGTCACATTTATGTGCATGTGAGCTTCTAGATCACTTCCAAGTTATTACATGCAGCAAAGTTGGAATTTGACCTCAATATACACGGAATACACTGAAGGGAGACCTAGAGACATGTAAGGCACACGTGCTATTCAATGAAAGGTTTCTCTTGCCAATACAATTTAAAGCATAACTTTCTTAGGAAGTTGCACTAATTTTGTTATGCACCCACACAAAGAAGCGGGTAGAAGGCATGGAAACAACAAATTCACATTCCAACTAGTAAGACTACCAACATGGCTATCTTATGGTACATCAAGAATAGCTACAAATGCTTCTGTTAAGCACGCGTAATAAATAAAGGAATAATAATCTCAAGTCATTTCCTATTTATCAATAAAGCCTATATTCATGCACGTATACCAAACTTCAAATATGACATTTCAGTTGTAGCCTATACACGGGTCTTTTTCCCGGAAGCAAAATATACAAAGCTAATCATACAAGACGGTATAGGGAAAGAGGAGTTAAAAAAAACCCTTCAGAAACCTCATAGAATACCTCAATGAACACAAACTCAATTCCTCCAATCAGATCAACCTGATCCACAAGAAAAGTTGGCATAGAGGTCTTAGACCCCTCAAGAACTTCATAAAACATGTTTGTTAGCATGTTAATTAACTTGCAATGAACTAACTCTGCCCAGGAGTTTCTCCTGCTAATTTGTATGAGCATTTTAATAACCTGCAAATAGTGGAAAAAATTAATTACTGCACTTCAACAATAAAAATCATAGCATGTAAAAGGCCAAGCCATATCAATTAAGCAAAAAACGAATTTGCAAATAGGCAGATACATCAAAAGAAGGTACTCCCAGAAAGAAATTCAGGATTTTCTGTGAGAGCCACCAAGTAAAATAAATTTTCAGTATGTCAAAAGAAATCCAACAGGACAAACATACATAGGGTTTCAAAGATGCCTTGGCCTTACAGTTCTTGTTTAAAAGTTCTCTATTTTCATAAGTATGCAACATAAAGTCGTATCAAAGTCAGAGGTGAGAAGGCTCCACTCATGAACTCACTTGAGATGATATATAAGAAATTGGGGATAGAAACTGGGAAGAAAAGAGAGTTACAGAGGAAGAGACGAAAATAGCAGTAGAAAATAATTTAGCAGTGTTTAATTTCATCATGATTGTAGTTGCATAACAAGGATTTAACGAACTAACTGCCCACAAGCTGGACGGCTGTCAAGTCCTAGCTTTCTATCTGTCAGTTTAAGCCTTTAAATGAATTGGTAGCTTAACAATGACATCAATTTACCACTAAAATTCGGAGTTTAACTCAAATCAATCATCACAGCCTCAAAGCCAAGTGTCTAACCCTGTTGGAAGTGTTCCCCATTAATTACTATATAACCCACAAATTATGACATGTGCCACTTCAATGACTTGGTAGGAGATGGTATCAGGTAACGAGGAGCCAAGGATAATTGTTATTTCCTTCTCTCCTTGGATAAAAATTATAGAATAATATCTTTAGTTCATAATTTGATCTTCTCCAGACGCTACCATGTCTAAGGTCAAAAATGAATTACTTTAAACACATTGATTATGCGGACCTTCACACATACCTTGCGAGCTTTTTACAAGGTGCAAAGAATTAGATCTATTCTTATAATGTTCCTGAGACCAAGAATTTTTAACTCTTTGCAAACTTGTAGCAAAGAAGATATGCTTTCATTCAATTGTAAAAAAATGCAACAACACTGAAGTTGGAATAAAATGACTCACTCTTATATCGAGACCTTTTAATCTGCTTCTCCGAATTTTGCCTCTATCACAAACAAAATACAGTAAACAGCTGAGGGCAGAAGCCCAGACAGATTCTTCCTTCTCCTCAGCCTGCAATATATCGAGACTGTAAAATGTCCATATTGAAAGCATATAAAATATCACTTATCACAAGGGTAAAATTCCGTATCCATTCCTGCCGAGAAGTCTAACACGATCAAGAAAGAGGGTACTATCATTTTGAGAAAAGAATACAAAAGAAGAAGCATCAATAATTACATAATATATTCATCCTTGTGAAATTTACATTCAGTGAAGAAAGAAACAAGTGGGATTATACATATGCAGCTAAATGGAGAAATGCAGGAAAAAATTTATACATTGTCTCGAGTAAATGTTCTATACACACACACACACACACACATATATATATATATATATATATATATATATATAAAGAGAGAGAGAGATAGGGAGCATAAGGCTAGACCACTACCAGGAAACCACATTATTCTACAGGATTATATCATATGCAGCTGAATGGAGAAATGCTGTTCTACAGGATTATATCATATGCAGCTGAATGGAGAAATGCTGGGAAAATTTTATACATTGTCTCGAGTAAATGTTCTCCATATATATATATATATATATATACACAAATACACATATATATACATATAAATAGGGAGCATAAGGCTAGACCACTACAGGAAACCACATTATTCTCACATCTTAGAATACTCCCCGGGGCGAGGGCAGATCATAAATTATCAATTTCTCAGTTGTTTCATATACTTCCTTAAAGACAATTCTACAAAACATTATATGCTAAAAGATTTAAAAATGTTACCTGCACAAGAAGGAGGAGGACTTCATACAAAATGCTCAATATCCATGATTCAAAGTTATTTATTGCAGATAAACTTTGGGTCCTAAGGTAATCAGGCTTTCTCGCCCCCTGTGTTGACAATTTTCGGTCAAGGTACGGTTCTTGAGTGTATTCTTCCTCAATGGTGGAAGCATCATCAGCTAGAAGTGGCTCCAATAAATGGCCATGAACACCAAGGTTCAGAATTAAGTCAAATGCACGAACTTTTGAGGTCAACTGCGAGGAACCAAGCATTTCCTGAAAGGGTAACATTGAAAAAGTAATTAAAAGGTGTATCAAACAATTAAGATATCACACAAACATGTAAAGGTAGCAGAACCTCAAGCATTGATAGCATGAGTGGAGCAGCAATTCCAGGGTCCAACACGTACCTACAAAATAGAAGTAAATGACACTTAATAACATCAACAAACTTCATAAAGTAATGGATAAATCATCATACATGATTCTCATGCACTGCTAAAAAGGTCCCAATGCAGCCAAGTCACGTCATCTATAATTTCAATTCCCAACCAAATCATACTTCCTCTTTTATATGTTAGTTAATCTTTACCCCATCGGCAGAGCCCTAGAGGTGGATGAGATTTAATCCTGCACAAATGCAATGGAAAGAGAAGCCTAAACCACAGCCTGTCTTGATTGCAACCCTTCATGGCATTTGATTTTCCATTAAGTTGGCTAACAAACTGAAGCTTCACATCCATTTGCTATAGTATAGGGTAGAAGAGAATCAAGTAAGCTTAATAATCCATGATGGAGTGAAGATTATCATTACATCAAGATGATCACTTAAAACTGTTTAACTTGGTATAGAATTGGATAAAAAAGAATAAATATCTTCTATGGCAGCCAGTTCCTAAACATAAGATATCTTGAGGGAGACTGCAGGATGGCAAGAGGGGGAACCCAAAAAAACTGAATGGCACTTGTGTAAGGCTCCCTCATACCAGAAATAAATGGCTAAATTTTGGATTGTCACCAAATGAATGCAGCATTTCCGTTTTGGGTAAGGGTTCAATTCAAAATACTTTTTTTCCATTAGTAATCACTATTCATTTACATTATATAAAATTGGTTTTGGTCCACAAGGTTTCACTATTTTGTCCTTATTGGGGGCATTTTAGATACTTAACTAATAGTCAAATAATCCATTAAGGTATAAGTAAAGCCAGATGTTTCATTCATTTGGGGACCGAAATAGAACTACAGCCAGTACATAAGAATGCCAAAATAAGGTCTGATTTGCTGCAAGCACCTCATGGCCTGTAAACACGTTTATGCAACTAACTTTATCATGGAAATAATTGCTAATCACAAATATCAAACTTGTGAACTAAATGGAGAGCGAATATTCAAAGGGAAGACATACATGTCAATTACAAGTTTGATTAGAACGCTCACAGCCACATCCATTGATGGCTTCCCACTGCTGCTACTTAGTTTAGATGACATCGTCATCATATTAGCAATTGGTGATGGTTTTTCTGAGCAAACTGCAGCTATAACTTCTCCCACCTCAACAGGATTCAATCGCAAGGGTTGTTGTTCACTGACAAAACAAATGCATTGAGAGTGAGAACAAGGATTATACTGACATTCAGCAATATAATGACTACTGTACAGAAACATAAATACATCGAGTTGAAAAATTATCCCTCTACAGCTAACAGTTTTTTTTGTTCATCCAGTGTTATAAGTTAGTTACTAGAATAACCCGACTTTGAGGTATATGAAACAACACACAAATAAAAAATGGCAAACAAAAATAGAAAACCAGTTTGTTGATGGTAGCAAGAAAAAGAATGCATTCTGTGTGATGGATATAGCATCCTAAATTCCTAATTAGTGATTATCATATGAGAATTTTCAACTACATTACAACCATGATTTGGTAATAGTTTCTTCATGGGGGGAATTTAACCGAAGCCACAACACAGCACATTAAACAAAAAGAGCCTAGATATTCTAACAAGACCTATAGTAGCTAAAGCTCTAAAACGTAGCCCACAGACAGAAATGTTGGAGATTAGGTTTACAGAAAGAAGTCTACAATGCAGTTATACCTGTAGGGTCGGTATTGGAAAAGTGGTCGAGAACGAGGACGGAATGTCGTCATAAGAGAATCTTCCCTGCAAAATGATAACAGATATAGGACTATTGATTCCAAAATTGACTATATTGATGACAATAAAGCTTCATACAATACAATCAATCTTCCAAATACAAGCATACCAAATCTGATGAGGGCCTGTCTTGGAACGTTTAGAAGCTGTTATTGCTCTCAAATGAGCACGAGCAGAGGCGGAATTGGTTACAGTAGTGAGTAATGAAGGCTGTAAAAGTTGATCAAGGTAAGGCATGTCAATGCTACCAAAGTTTCTCCAAAATTCACCCTTTGTTTTAGCTTCCATGTCCCCTAAAAGAAGGGCGGCAGCACCTACTTCAAGAAAATTGTGCTTACTCATGTCTTGATGATTTAAGGAACAGTCACTGCAGAATTGGATTTCCAAGGATTACAAAAAGCCACAAAAGGAAAAACTGCTTAATATTATGATAACAAAGAAAGAATTGCATGCAATAGCAGAAATATAGGAATACCTATCGGAAGAAAGCAAAGATGATTGGGGATCCCCATGCCATCGCCATTTGAACACATCACGGGCTATGAATTCATCGCCTTCAACTCCATCGACATCTTCAGCAATAGGCGAATCCAAGACAGACGTAGCAGAACCTTCTTTGATCTCAGAAGCTTCTTTACCGATTCCCGGGCTTATTTGGGAATTGAAAGATTTGCTCATTAGAGATGATAATGATGGAAGTGACTGTCTTGAAGCAGAAGTCGCTCCCGCAAAAGCTGCAGGTTGGAATGATCTTTTTGGAACGTGTTGAGCCACTAGAGAACGAATATAATTTAGCGACTTCACAAGTGTGCCTGAAGCAAAACTTGCAACAGGCAACGGTGATGCATTTGATGTAGTCGCCGAAGAACCAGCTTGTGAACTCAGAGATCGAGACCATGGTGTTAATCTTCTGCTTGGGCTATTATCACACTCCACAATTATATTTAAACAAAACCGATCAATTTCTAGTAGGGTCTCCTCACTTGGTTTATATCTGTAACAGAAAGGAGATATCATATCAGTCTCTGTTACTAAAAGGATTTACCAGTCACATAAGTTTCTTCATTGTAGAAAGAAGCTGTACATGACAAGCCATCAGTGGATTTTATGATACTGAAAGCCAAAACCAGACATTCTCATTGATCAAAGAATGTCAAGGAGTTCACCGTTATTCATTGGGTTGGCATGGTAGCTACAGAAACTCCCATGGTTTAACAATTCTGCAGTTTACAGAAAGCATGTATTGCCATAGTAACAAATACAGCAAGCATAGCTTGACATCTCAAACCTTTTTGACATAATTAAAAATTCGAAAGTCAACTAAATTCAATTTCTAAGTTCATATGTCATGATTTATGTGTTTTGACGGCGCATATTCAAATTCGACAGTACTGGCTTTGGTTAAGAAACATCAATACACACAGAGTGACAAAGGAGGAAGGTGAAAGTGCAGAGTTTATGCCTATTTACTATGGCTCGTCTTTCCATGTATTTTCTATTTTGTGTTTGATCGTCAGTTCAACTGAGATTTGTTTTCAGAGACATTTTGCTAATTTATGACAGTTAGACATGAGTAGTGACTTAAGTAGAGATGAGAGGAGAAAAGAGATGAGTGGGTAAAAAGAAAACAAAGTACGGGGCCACAGTTTTAAAAACAAGTAAACGAACTAGACAGAAACTGTGAAGGATTCAAGGAGTGCTTAAAGGGAAGAGGAGATGAGTACAAACATTTCCTTGTAAACTACCCTGAAGTACCACTTTTGATGTGAAACTCAAGATTACGGCTAAATAAAATTGCATTAGAATGCTATTAGATTCTATAAGATGTTCACTTGGGTGGATTCAAGGTTTTATATCAAAATTGCAGATTTATGGTCGTTTTTCTCTATACAAGTATGATTTATTTATTAGGAGTAGCGTATGTTTTTACTTGTTTCCTAAGTCAGAATTAAGCACTTCTAAGGGATCGACCTGTTACCCATACGGATCGAGTATGGATGACTGAGCAAGCCGGACCATCTGTTGGTGAATCATGGGTAACATAGCCAAGAAGATGAGTGCTTTTGAATCCGCATGCAGTACCAATAAGAGGAAGATTGGCCTCAAAACTTGGTACACCAAGATGTACATTTAACTTCCATCTTTTATAACTTACGTTTCAGCTTCCATGGGTTCCATCTAACTCTTCTTTCCATCTTTCTTCCTCCTGCTCCCATTGACATCCTGCCGGGCCAAAGATTGGTTGAAAAGGCACACCCCTAACCGCCTATCTACTCATTTGTAGCTCAGTCGGAGGTGAAGACTGTGGTCTGGCGGAAAAACATAAGTCTTTGTCAAGTAAAATCTGAAATGCTCGGTAGGGCTTCCAAAATCATGCATGTCCCAGGTCACTGAAAGGGAGATAACTGATAAGCATGAAATGATGAAGAGCTCCGACTAGATCCAGTCTTCAAAGTGAAGCTTCCTTTACTTAAAGGCCATGTCATTGAGCAACAGAAAAAGATATATTGCATGACTCGGCGTCCAAGGTGAATGAATTTACATATCCGAGACAATGAAAAAGGATCCTTATGAACTACATTCTTGTTTGGATATGCTCATCACATTTTCCAATTCCCTCTCAACATGTTGCACTTTATATACCTTACTTTATTTCAGCTTAAGCTCCAACCTTCAAATTCCAATGTATTTCTTCAAAATTTCCAACTCTGTTTTAACAACGTTACCATGATTTCGGAAGACGTTGTATCCACCTATGCGTCTATGCCCATGATTACCCAAGTTTGGCAATTGGCAAAAAGCAAGAGATTAGATAAGCATTTCCATCATACCAACGACTAGTCCATCACCACCAAATGCAAGTAGGATAGTTATAAGCTACAAGTAGCAATTAAAAGACGACATATAACCCAACTATAAGCTTTCAGCCCTATGTTAACACAAAAGTCGATGCCTACTATACTTCCTGACATTGCAGAAATAAGTTTCCATAAGAAACAACACCTACCGTAGGAGATAACGTTTCAAAAGCGCCACACACCTTGCAACCACAGCCGGGCTGTTACAGATAAAAAAATGTATCAGATGGTAAAAATGTAATTAGTTTGGCAGACATTTGATCAATGTAACATGCCGACACGCAATATCTTAGCTGAAATCGTTAATTAGAAGGATGCAGATTGTAAACGAACACAAATAATATTATACCAATGCTACCTGTTACATTCACCTTGAATCATCCTAATATTTTGTTATTTTTACCCGTACTGAAAATTGGTGTTAAAATGATAACACAAAGGTTCATGCTTGGTCAGTGTATAATGAAGAAAGACTTGTACTGCTGGAGTGGTACATTCAAGCATGGTAAAGTAAAAGGAGAAAACAGTTAAAAGTATCTAGCCGCAGAACAGAACCTACTACAGGTTTCAAGACATCATAGTTAAAGAGATGGAGTTGATGGTTGCAGTTCAAGACCCCTATCCGACTCATATAGAAAGTTCCAGAGAAGCAATTCATATTTCCCATACAATGTTTTACAAGTTAAATATATCTTCTGTGTATTAAGCAAAAGTTCACCTTAGGTTCAAGGTAAGCTGAATACATGTACACGTGACAAGTATGGACCTGGTTTCCATGGTGTAAATCATTGCGGATGTTGAAAGAACTTCGAATCATATGAGCAGTAACTATCAAGTTTCCACGGCTCTAGTTATAGCCTAATTTTAATCCAGCATGGTCTATGCGCCCTCATCTAACCTTGTTTTTGAGTGATAATCTATGGCATCAAGCAAAATACCATTCAATTTGTCATTTCATATATGTTCCCCTTTACATTGCTTGTGCATCAAATATTTCCATATGCAGCTAACAAATAAATATTTGAATCTTCCTTAAACATTCACATCTAGAAATTTACTTTTCACATGGATTCTTACAGAATATAAGGAACAACTATCCCATAATCATAGTCTACAAGCCCTCATACAAGGTTTATTGCTTACAAGGCATCTAGGTGAACAATGATAATGATTTTAAAGACTAATCCATCTTTATTATTGTTGGCAATACGATCAAGCTAACAATGATGATTGCTTTTGGCAGAGAATAAGATGAATGAAGTAAATAACAAAGATGCTTGTTGTAAAGTAAACCATTGAAGTGAAGGGAAAAAAACCTTACTGACATTAATAAGACAACCTGCGCTTATGGAGTATAGACATATGCACCAATCATAGACAAATTATAAGACTATTACTTGGCGATACTGCTTATCATTTTTTTATTGATCTAGGCGCACGGGCCCTCCATTGTTCTCAATATATTGATGGTATGTCCTTGGTAATGCATACACTATTGTTCCCTAAACATTAGCATGGTATTAGAGCCAAGACTTTGATAGGCAAAGAGTTGATAGCGCTTCAAGGAGTATTCAAGTTGCCAGGTTGGAAATAACACGTATAAAAATAATATGTATATGTGAAGCATTTATTGAAATTACAAGGAAGACTGGAAGAGTTCATAAGAATTAGCGAATATTTATAGAAAACCTTCGCTCTCTCTCAGCAAGTGTGTGCTCTATTATCACACCATAGGCCAGGTCAGTAGTTCCATGAGATGCTAAATAGTCCTGTCAAAAAGGAAAGCAAATCAAATCACTTGTAAGAATAGACGTTTAGGATGTTAATGAATTCATTTACATGAAATAGCTAATGCTATGGGCATAAACCTGGTAAATTCCCCTTACCATTTCGGGCAAATAGACGTAACTTAATGAATAGTTCCCAACCACAGGCAACTAACACATATGTAGTGAAACCTCAGACACTGAACTGTGGCAATACAAGCCTGTCTGTAATGCATTATATCACCATGTGACATGATTAAGTTACGACTGCTGAATACAGTCATGTAAGTGCCATGGTGTCACCTACACCAACATTGTGAGTGCACCCAGTGGTGAATCTAAATCAAGAGAAACCTGGGCACCCATTGGTGTTCTCCATTAAGGTTTATGTAACGATGAGTACCCTAAATTATCAATGCAGTTTGGAAAAAGCCTGGGCACACTGATGTGAACACTAGGCAGTCAAAGCAACAAAAATGTGTCTGTGTGTACTTGTGCCTGGATATGTGTATGAGCAATCCCGATCCCAGAGAGAAGACAAGACAACGGTCAAACCTTTTTTTTTTACTTTCTTCCAAAGTAGTGGGATTGCAATAGTGAGAAAAAAGAACACTAATGACCAAATCCTCATACCAGAACTGAACAACTATTAAAACAAAAATAATGATAAGAAATATCTTGGTAGCAAATATACATCATCGGCCAAGGAAGTACAACCCGGAGTCCATATGACTTGCTGACCATTTAATCATTATATTTGTAAGCTCCCTCTTGAAACTATCGAGTGATCAAGGTCGGTACACCTGATATCAAGCCACTCGACATTACATGACCTAAACGACTTAATAGCAGTATTTACAATTAAACCTGCAAGTAAATTTCTTTCACTTTTAAACCCATGACATTCCTTCCATTAAGCAAAAGCATGCAAATTGGGTAAAATAACCAGCTGATTTCCACATTTAACCGTTGTATGTGTACTATGACAGCTACAATTTGCCCTACCTACTCCAGCAATATAATTCCCCAATCCGTACCCAAGAAAAAACTAACATGTACATATAAGGGAAAGTGCAATTCCATGTTTATGCACAATAATCGTACCGAGATGTGTGTATAACAATTCTATAATCCAAATTAATACTAAATCACAGGCAGCCACTATTAAACCCTAGATTCGAAAGCTAAAAAACTACGGGATCTGAACAAGCAAAGTGAAAATTAACGTCCGTTCGTACCCGAAGAGTCCTGGAAGCTTCGGATACAACGGCTGAAGAGCTTCCCTGGACGGATAGAAGAGAAGAAGACAAACAATCGGCGATTGCGCGGCGAAGAGGCTCAGGCGGTTTCTTGGACGAAGAAGATCTCATAGCCCTGGAGATACCACCAACGCCGCCCAACTGCAACCTGGAGCTCGTAGCAGGGCTCCGAGGGCCGCTGTTGAAGCTCGTGGACATTGTATGTATATGCAGAGATATAGATATAGCGTTAGTGTATCTATCTATGTGAGGAACCACCACTTCTCTCACTACATTTCAACAATTGAACACCCTTTCTTCCTTCTTTATGTTGTCTATGCAAGAGAAGAGGCGTGTTTTATGATTAAGAGAGAGAATTAATAACTACAATTTTATGTTCATTATTTTTTCTTTATCTTCATTATTACAAGTTTTATTTTTTGATAAAATAAATAGAAAATATAAATATTTTCTTTTTTTATTAATCTGAATATCCAACCCGCTATGCCAGCTGACTAATCTCAGAACGACCACCTGCTTTGCAAATAGTCTGGAGTCACCGCTTTTTTATTTCTTCTTGGATTTGAACCTGGGACCTTCAAATATTTTTGACTTTTGAAATCAAATTCAAACCAATCAAACACCATCTTTGTGGTTTATATTTCCCTTTTATTCTTCATCAATATGATAAGCTTTCAATCTTCTACATGTTGTAGTCATTTTATTTATTAAACTCGTTTTCCTTTCAATTTTTATATATAATCATAGATGTTAAAAAATGCAAACAACAATGAAAGAGAACGAGTTCAAAATTAATTAATAATACTATACATCAGTCGTTAGTATTTATTACCGTATAATTTATTGGTTTGTTGCTACAGACCACAAATTCGATTTTAAAAATGGCCATATGACTAGGGGATGTCCAGTTCAACTATATTGCCTCAAGTTTCAGATTTAATTTGTTGGCTACTTTATGCACGTATTTACCAAAAACCTGTCTTATTTGCCATATTTAATTACATTTAATTATAGTCAGTAAGCATCTCAAACTCGTTTTTAAAATTCGCATGAAAACACTTCATGACATAAATATAACGATTAGTTTGATGCATAATATCATATAAAATTGATAATTAACGATTAATAAAAAAAAGATACAAGCTTTCATATCCCTGACCTAAATTTAACAACTATTTTGACTGCTAATCTTATATTTAGGGTGTAAGATCCCACATTGATTGGGGAAATGAACAAATGTCACGTTATATGATCTCATACCTCATCTATCAAACGCATTTTAAAACCGTGGATCCAGATGTGTTGACAAATCGGATAATATCTGGTACAGTTGGCCATCATATGTTATTATGTTATAGACGGTGTCAGAGCCGTGAACCGGACTAGTGTGCCAACGAGGATGTTGGGCTCCAAGGGGGGTAGATCTTAAGATCTCACATCAGTTGAGAAAGGGAACAAATATCGTCTGATACCTTTTATATCAGACACATTTTAAAACCGTAAGTCCATACATATGGATAAAGCATACAATATCTGATACGATTGATTTGAGATATTGCATAGGGACCTCTAAAACGAAACCACTAAGTCGTCGTCAATGGTAGGGTAGATCCATGTGTTTGAGAGAAGGGGGTGTCTTTTATGCCTTGACTATGAGAAAATTGAAAACAAATCATCCTTTTATTGAGTTTGTCTATAATCTTGGTCCAAACGTCTAATGTGTATATGGGTCATCAAAACTTATACGTCTGCCACTATTCACTACTTTGAATTATTGATGTCAAACATTCCTGTTAAACAATAATGAGACGATTTGATGTCATAAGATGATTTAGATTAGAAAAAACAGTTACTATATTTGATTAAATATTTCATTTACGTTGAAGGTATTAAGATTCGTTTTGTTTGCAAAATTGAATTGAATTTTATTCTAATCTTATGTTTCGTTTGAATGATTTTATAAAAAAAATTGAGACTAGACCGGAAGGGAGTGGCGGTGGGGTAGCTTATGTTTTATTTTATTTTTTTATAAAATTTTAATTTTATATATATATATATAGAGGGATGTTATTCTACACCCTTTGCCATTCCTACACCCTATACAACCCTCATCTCAACCATTCAATTTTTAATCAATTAATTGTTTCCTAATATAAAGTATTAATCATAATTAATAAACTCTATTCATATTCCATAAATATTCAAATCATAATAAATGAACTTCAATCATTTCTATAAATATCTCAATTAATTGGGTTGCAAAGGTTGTACAAATGCACAAGGTTGTAAAAGAAATATACCCTATATATATATATATATATATATATATATATATATATATATAACATAAATGAAAGGAAAAAAAAACTAAAAAGACCATATTACCTTTTAATTTAACGGGCTCTTTAACTTTGTTAGTCTTATGGACGATGAAAAACGAAATGAAATGAAAACCACAATGATCAAAAAACAACTTTTAAAAACCATGAACAAAAATAGTTATAAAACGCCAAATCACATGAATAAAAATCATAGTTTACTCTTCATTATGTGTATGATTATTTTTTAATTTTAAAGAAACTATAACTTTAGCTTGAGTTTTGCTCGTAGAAACACAATTCTTGATGATTTCACAAGACGAACCATGTCTTAGTTAAGAGCATATGTAACAAATTATTCAAAATAAAATAAAAAGTAAAAATCTACAAAATAATTACTTCATATCTAACAGATTATTTATTTTGGAGATTACACAATTAATTATATTTTAAAATATTAACTATAACATATAAATTATATCTTCTAAACATTTAAGTTCAAGTAATCTTATTGATACAATGAATAAAAAATCATTTATCTCACGTAAGTAATCATTTTCCGGAAGATTATCTAAATTTGGAGAATTTCATTCTCTTTCTTATACTTTTTGTAATTCATTGAGGAGTTCATTGATGATGTTTAAAAAAAAAAATATAAGGAGGAATAAAAATTCATTTGTGGCCGCGGAGGTTTAAATGTGGTGACTTCGGACTATTTGCAAAGCAGATGGTTGTTCTGGGATTAGTCGGCTTGCATAGCGTAGCTGGATATCCAGGTTAATAAAAAAAATCGGTATGGATTAAAATAATATTAATTAATAAAATTATAAAAAATGCGGTGGTACGATGATTGGTTAGTGGATACCAGTTGTATTTTGCCTGGGTGTCATTACTCATGCCGTTAACCTTTTCTATTTCTTATGCTAACCACCTTTTACTTCCTTTTGTCTTTGGTTCTATTTTAATTAAGTTGATATATACTTTCTATTATTTAATTTTTTTATTAAACATATATTTTTACTAAGGTTCGTTCGGTTTACATAAATAAATTGGATTTTGAAGGATTTAAATTTCAAATTCATTCCAATCTTATATTTGGTTTGCAGAATTATACGGATTTAAAATCCTATGATTTATTTGAGATCATATGATTTATTTAAAATCCCTTAAACATAGTATTTTGAAATTCCATAGAGATGATTGAGATTTTACGAAATTTCGTAAAATTTATATCTAATATTGTTTAAAAATATATTTAAGACATTTGTTAATAAATAATTATTAAATAAAAATATAATTTAATTATTTTTGTAATATTTTTTAAATAATGGAATTGCATTCCATTACAAATCCTATAAACCAAAACACACAAAAGATTCCAAATACTTACAAATCCAAATCATTTTATGAAATCCAAATCCCTCAAAACCATTCTATCAAACAAAACACCCTGATAGTTGGGATAAAAATAGTTAAAGTTGATATTCAAATTGTTTATTTAGTATAACAACCAAATAATTATGTATTTTAAATTACTTAAACAATTTTATCTATATAGAACTTAATAAAAAATAAACTTAGCAACTCCTTATTTTCATAGGCAATGACGAAGTCCCGGTGGAGCTAGAAGAGGCACTAGCAACTAGGGGTGCTCATGGGTTGAGTTGATCGGGTTGAAGATATTTGAACAATCCAACTCAATGCTTACGGTTTAAAAAATCTTAACTCAATTCAACCAAACCAAAGTGCAAACCAACCCAACCCGTACGGATTGGTCGGGTTGGTCGAGTTGATACTTTTGTACATTAAAATATTCTTTTAACCTTGAATATGTTATTTTATACTCATAATTTATTTTCATCATCAACCGTTTGATAGAACTTATACATACTTTTTACACATACCACATTCAGTTGATTTTCTCAATTTACATATATATGTTCACAGTTACTGAACATATATACGAATGAATTATATGGAGATGTGAATACTGAATATATTGAAAATATGTGTATATGAATAGCGTACATGATAGTGTAACTATCTAATGTATATATTAATAAAAATTTAACGATCATATTAAATCCAAAAAATAAAAGGATATTGGGTTCATTGGGTTGGGTTGAGTTAAAATAATAGCAATCCAATATAAACGGTTTGAAATTTTTACAACTCGATAGACATCGGGTTGAGCTATTTCGTGTTGGGTTGGTTGATCGGGTTTTTGAGCACCCCTCAAACTTCAAAAATAAGTTTCCAAAATTGTCCCAAACCCTAATCACCCTGTTGTCGCTTTATTTGTTCATATTAAATTCTTATTTTTATTATTTTATAGAAGCAGTTTTTTAAAGACTCTAAAGTTAACAGTCTTTGAATACACAGTTATTTTACTATAAAATTTCATGTATTTTCAAATGACATTTTTTATTTATATGGTTATTACATATGTTTTTATATTTGTTTGTATAAATATAGACACAATTAATTTGTTTACCTCATTCATGTTTTTCAACTCTTCTTAACAACTATTTTTAAGATAAATATTTATTATATTAAAAATATTTTTTTTCCCGACCGTTTAATCATAATTTCTTTTACATTATTTCTAAACACTATCTAAATATTTTTTTTGCGTCCACCCCAATTCATAGACATTGTTATTCTGCAAGTAACAGGCTAAATTAAAAGAAAGAAAGAAAGAATGCAAAATTAATCCTCTTCTTAAAAAATGCAAATGGGAAATGAATATAAATAATCGTTTTTAAGGTCTAACTTCATCATATCTCTCTATAAAATTCAAAAACACCACTATCGTCATAAGAGGCACCCCTGAAAAGTACAATCCATAAATAACAAAAGTATTTGGATTGATTTACAGTTTTGGCCTTTTATTTGTCGACTACGTTAAGAACTTTTCTTTTGAACATTTTGATCTCTCATAAGTTGAGGAGTCGTCACTTTCATAGATAGTGACTTTTAAAATTTTGACGAGATAAATTACTAAGGTGACGTTTGTTTTTTAAGAGTTGTTGAAGTCTGAAGTTTATTTCACTTTTGATTAGTAAGAGGTGCTGCTGAAGTCTGAAATTTGGATCAATAAGACTGTTTGTTTTTGTAAACGACAAATGTCTGAAGTCTGAATCAAAATAGTTTGTTTTTGTAAAATCAGGTGTAAACATTTTGTAAAATCCTATTGATTTTCATAAAATTTTCATTGCCGAAATTCATCTTAACAATTGTTTAATAGATGAAACACAGTGAGAATGCAAACTTCCGATGCTATGAGGAATGCCGCCGATGAGTTTGTTTGTAAAAAGATTGATATTTTTGATACATGATAGATCGCCGATAGAAGTTCTTGTTCCACAAAATCTTTTAAGCTAACATATACGTACATAAATTATATATACACATATATGTAGGGAAAGATAAATCTAGAAAGAGAAGGTGAGAGTGCATTTTACATAGGTGATCAAAGGACGGTGTTGTCTCTAACGACGGAGAAAGAAGCAATAGCCAAAAATAATAATAAAAAATGAGAAATAAGATGAATTAAGATATTAATTTATCTTTTTTTTATTAATACTTTATTAAGTGATAAAAAACTTTGAAAATAATAAAAAAACAAATAATAAAACGTCCGAACAAATCAAACATAAATAATAATCAAGAGTCGAAAATGAAAAAAAAAACAAAATCCAAGATGAATTTGGTCCAAAAAAATTGTTATTTCTATTAATTTTACGATGCATATGAAGTTGGTATTTGATATAGGCATTCAATAATCAATAAGCCTTGCTAAAGACGGGACGATACAATATTGGCGGTGGCCACGTCCTCGACGGTCTCGTCAAACTCCAACGCTGGCAACACGTCTGCAAGCAACACCTTCCGGTTACGACCGTACACGTGTCCATCCCACTTCCTCATCACCAACTCCTCCCCTAGTCTCACTGCCGCCTTCACAGTCTCCTCCGCGCTATCGTGTGCCGAATAGATAATCCCCTTCGCCACTGCAGCCTCTGCCGTGACCTTGTCGGCTCTCAGCACAACATCACGCAACGCCGCCGGAGATCCGATCTTGTTCTTCAACAGCTTCACGAACCAATCAGGCACGACGAGCTTGATATCCATCTCGCTCATGTACAAAAATCCTCTATCCTTCCGCATCAGAACGTAATCATGAGCCTGCGCGAGAATAAATCCGCCGGCCGACGCGTGGCCTGAGACGGCGGCGATCGTAGGCATCGGTAAAGAGATGATATCTCGGACGAGTAACCGGAGCTTAGAGGACATAAGGATATGGCGCTCCGGATCGGACTGAGACCAAGCGAGGTCGTAGCCATTGGAGAAGAATTTTCCTTGTGCGGTGGTGATGAAGACGGATGGAGTTGTGGTTTCGGATCGGACACGGTTAACCGCCGCCCTAATTGAGTCGAGTAGCTTGGGGTTTAAGCGGTGGTCATCGTCGCCGGTGAGGGTAAGGATGTAAATGTTATCGCGTTTCTCTAGCGTGCACATCCTCTCTCTATCTGAATAACTTAGATCAGCTCTCTAATCTCTATGCCGTCTTAATTAATTACTTGCCCCATCGTTTTCACTAGCTTTGTTAACTCCAATTTGAATTTTGCATCCACATTTATTGAATTAGTCATATCTAATTACAATTTAAAATTTGGATCATGAGTTCATGTTTCAAGCTAGACGGCTGAACAACTAGCTTATAATAACTTGGGAAAATTGCACTGAAATGAAACTAACTTTTCCTTGATTCCTATTTTAGAAAATCAATTTTCGAAATTGTTATTTAGGGGTCTTTATTAAACTTTTTGTTTATTTAAGGGTCTGATGGATCTGTTGAACAGGTAACATATAATTTAAAGGTCTCTGTTAAACCTTTGGTTTGATTTGCCAAATTTGATTTATAATTTAATATTAATACAGATTGGTTAGATATAAAAATCTTGAATTTGATATTTAATATTTACTTTTTATTGCATCAATTAATTTTTCCCTATTAAATTGATTTTTTTATTGTATTAGTAAAAAACAATTTTTATTGTGGTAATTTGAATTTTTTCTGAAAAAATCTTCAATTTGATATTTGAATTTAAAAGAATTAGATTTAAAATGAAAAATAGATTTTATTGCATTAATTTTTGAAAAAAAATAAAAACGAATTTTAGTTATTTTTTTATAATTATTTTGCAAGTTGGTTCCTCAAAATGACGATTTTAAAAGTTCGTCCCCAAAATAGGAATCAGATGAAAGTTGGTTTCATTTTACAACTAACTTATAAACATGTAAAATGATCAAAAAATATCTTTAAAAGAAATAATCAATTAGAATTTACAAATATTTCACAATAGTAAAGAAAATAATATAATATTTAGTTGAAAGTATTTAAAATTGATATATATATATATATATATATATATATATATATATTAGTTGTGTACCTGTGTACTACGACGATATGCAAAACTCAAGATAAAGTTTCATCTCAACAATGGGATTCTTCTGTTGTTTCATATATACTATAGACAAATATGTTTCATTTTAAAAATATGTTTTTCCATTTCATCTTAATGCTCCATATTAAAAATCAAAAGCAATTTATGAATAAGAAATCGAAAAAGGCATAATGACCTTTTGATCTTTAACGAAATGAGATTGCAAAGAACAAGTGGTATTATGTACACCCCAATAGTACATATTATCATTTAATCAAATGAATGATCAACTTGTAGGATGGGATCCTTTTGACAACTACGGCTGTGGGAAACATATTAAATCTGGTAAGTAAAATGAAACAAAAATAAAATGAAAACTTAGTAAAACAAGTAAGTTTTAAATAACATTGTTTTAGATCAAACAAACAACAAAATAAGAAGCTGTCCAAACTAACAAGTAAAAGTGGTAAGTTTTAAATAAGTAAAACAAAAACTTAGTAAAATTAAAGAAAAAAAAAAATGAGTAAAAGCAAAAGGGCATGTAAAAAACATCAAAAAAACTTGTAGAAACCGTGGTTATTTTGTTTCAACTTTCCATCTTGTGATAATGTTGAAATCAATTGAATGGTCCGCTTGTAGGTTGTAATCCTTACATATATATATATATATATATATATATATAGTTGCTATGTATATATGGATAATAGATTTAGCCATAACACACCGACATATCAATCAATGAGCAAAATCTAGCATTACTGGTATTAGTTGATCCAATTTAGAAAGAAAAAAAGGCAGACCAAAAGCAAAGTGCATGCCTGAAATTTGAGCAGAATCTCGTATCCATTTTTTAAATAACATTGTTTTAGATAAAACAAAGCTCACTTGAACTCATAACTCAAAACATAAACAATGAGTAAAACAAAACAAAATGAAGAAAAAAAAAGATCTTATATTGATCAATGATGCAAGAAGAGAGGAAACGATGTTACATGGAGAGAGATGGACTGAGGAATCGATGATGAATTGGTACACAATAATGAACTCATATGAGATGCATAGTAATAAGTTGGGCCAAGCTAGAACAGTAAACAGACAAAAGGTTGATAAGTGTTATTGGTTTAGATAAAACAATCGACAAAGAGAAAAAATATCTATAAACTATAATCCACACAATTATAAACTACAGAAACTGTACTCGTTGTTCACATTATAAAGATTAGATTACAAAGAATGTCATGGAGATAGATATAGCAACAAATGCAAGCCAAATAATAGAAAAAGATATAGCAAGTTGAATGATGCATATCCAACAGAACATAACTATTAGTACCTTTTGTTTTACATGTTGTATTTAAGACATTAAAAGACATTTATCAAATTTGGTTTATAAGGTAATATAAATATGCATATACTATTTTGAAAATAAAATAAAATATTAAAATAAAGATATATATATTTCACTGCATTTTACGAATACCTTATAATTTGAAGTGTAACGAGAATATTTATTAATGCTAAAGCGTGCTATGATTATTTAAAAACAAACCGTAAAAGTCATTACGTGTTAGAAATTTGGATTGTGCTGTAAATGGTTAGAAACCGTAAATTCGTGGTCTATTTTGTAATTATTGGAAGCTTGTGATTGGAGATTTGGTATCGATCCACCCTCTCGCCATCTCGGCTTTCTGAAGGTAGATCTCGACCACTCCGTCCCCGTCTTCTCTATCAATCGCGTATCTCTCTTCGATCATTAAGGTACGTCGCTCTCTCTCGATCGCTCATAACCTTGCTTTGTAATACCACTCATGATTTTGAACTAATTTAAGTTTATATTGCTCTTGATCGTCAGTTGAAATCAGTGTATTCTTGCCTTGTTCCAATTTCTCATGCTTCTCTTACAAATTATCGATCTTACAAATGGTAGAGGACCTTAGCCGTTTTTAGATCTAAGACGCATACGGGACGTGTTTTATGAATTGAAATGACTCGAGGGTGTATCGAGAATTCGGGATTTATGTGTGATTTAGAGGTTTCGGACTTTGAAGTAGTTTTGGGAAGTATTTGATTATGAATTTATGATATAATGTTCGGAATTGGAAGCGGAATATAACTAGTTCAGTTGCTTTGAAGTTTTAAGCTGTTTTGCTCGAACTCAATTTCGATTGAAACGTATGGCCTTTTAGTGTATTTACGGTTTAAAACTTCAGTTCCATGGCGTAGAAAAGGAAATAGAACAAAACCGGTTCAAAGCTTTAAGTAAATAGTTTAACTGGGCTCGAAATTCTTTTGCTCTCCTCAAATTACATACTGCCATACTCTTTACAGTTCTTGACCGTTAAGACTACTCCACCAGGTAGTCTTGAAGGTTCCGAATCTTGTTTACCAAGTTAATTAGGTTCTCTGCACCATGGGAGACTAGAGATAAAGCTGCCAAGGGAGAGCTGGTCTCTTCCATGGCTTATTACTTGGCTACAATCACAGGCATGTGCACCAATAAGAAGCATGATTCTGGTGTTGGCTGATTGACTATATTGGTGCTAGGTTTGGTTTAATTTAATCTGCTGCCTAAAATGCAACTTTTTAGTTTTATCCACTTGTTAAACTACCATCTCATGAACCGAGAATCAGGACCCCATTGTTCATCTTCTTTAATGCAATCATTCTAAGCGTTTTTTCACACACACACACACACACACACATATATATATATATTTATATATATAGATGTATGCATGTATATACATAAAGGATCATGCTAGAAGTTAAACATTTTACGAGAAGGCGAGAGGTCTCAATATCATATATGATTATATTCATTTGGGTGTGTTTACTCATATATGATTAAACGTCTATGTGTTGTCAATGCAACATGTGTTTAATCATATGATTAAGCTTGTGTATCATGCGTGTAATCATATATGATATTGAAACTTCTCGCTTTCTCGTAAAATGTTTAGCTTCTCGTTTGAACCTGCCCTAAATAGATATGTATATATAGATATATATACATAAGAATGCACTAAATTACCCACTCAGCAATTTCATTTCATCTATACGCAGATGGAAAAGGGGAAAGGAGTGATGGGAAGTAGAAAATGGGCCGTTGATTTCACAGATAATTCATCCACGCCTTCCTCCCGTGACATTCCAGACCCACCTGGCTTCACTCGTGCATCTCATGATCAGGATGATTCTACCATGAGTCGCCAAAAGAAGGATGCCGAAGCAAATTGGAAGTCCCAGAAAGCATGGGAAGTTGCCCAGGCCCCTTTCAAGAATCTGCTTATGATGGGGTTTATGATGTGGATGGCTGGAAACACTGTCCATTTGTTTAGTATAGGTATAACATTTTCAGCTCTTTGGCAGCCCTTAAGTGCTCTTCAAGGGGTTGGTAAGGTTTTCAACCCATACAGGGATAACAAAGTGGACCTCGTTGGACCCAAATTATTATTCGTCGCACTAAATTTAGGGGGTATGTTGTTGGGTGTCTGGAAGCTAAACACCCTCGGCCTTCTTCCGACTCATGCATCTGATTGGGTTTCATCATTGTCCCCTGCCCACGAGATCGAATTTTCAGGTGGAGGTATTGCTCTGCATTAATATTGGTAACTTTTTTGGTTCATGCTAAAGTTTTTAAGATCTAGCAGCTGCTTTGGATGCATTGAACCCGTAAAATTCATGTCTCAGGTCTGAACGTTTATTAATAGTCTGAACTATGCAAGTTAGAGGAACTCATTTATATACTTCATTTTTGCATTATTTTGCTGTTGAAAAGCCTAAATTTTGAGACAGACATAGTTTCTGAACCTTATGGTATCAAACAATTACGACAGTTTCGAGTTTTTCAAGCCCAGTAGATTGTATTCCTCGGTTTTATGGGTACCGATAACTGCTTTCGTGTAGTTGTGTGTGTGATTCATCCGCATGTCATAAATCTGCCATTGGACAAGTCCGGATTCATGTCGGCACCTTGATCTTCATTCGCAGCTGGTTGTTTGATACGGGGTAGGCAAAGGGGCCGTTTACTAACACTTACCGGGTAAGCGCTTACCGGCATCACTTGCCTTTCTGATTATGAATGACAAGAACCAAGAATCTTACCTGGTAAAAGGCGTAAAAGGGACCAAGAGTCTTACCCGGTAAGTGTTTTATCAGAATTAAGGCGTTTACTAACAATTCATTTTGAAGGCAGAGAATGTTACACGATAAGATAAGTTAGAGCAATGTCTCGTGCATTGGTAGCTTTTACTCGGTAAACGTTTGGTAAACACACCTATACATTGTTAAATGCCCACCTTACTACTAATTTCTCCATTACGCTCATCAATAACAAAACTTTGTTTTTTACATTTCCAATATTTGACTTAACCTGATTTTGATATAAATAGACGTCCACCTAATATTATTTAAGTTGATATCAGAGTACAAAAAGAAGCAGCTTTTTTTAAACGAACCTCTCTTATGAAAAGAACAAAGAAATCTATATATATGAGGTTCAAACAAGAAATACAGAAGTTGAAAATAAAAAAGTCAAAAACTTCCAAAACCAAATATTCAAAAAAATTGTTAGCACGGAACCGAGCAACTGAAGGCTGAAGTTCCAAAAACAGCGTACATGCTAGCTCTGACACCTCCGGCTAGAGATGTTCAAAATAGACTGGTCCCATTTTTCAAAACAAACAAATTTTATATAAAGTTTTTTAAGATCTATAAACCTTCAAGTTAAGTTTTTCAATTTCTTTTTGAAATACTAAATTTTAACTACATAAACATTTATAACATTTTATGTGAAGAAGGTTTTAAAAAAGATTTAATATGTATTTCAATAAAATATTGTACAATTTTTTTATATGCTTCAAAATCGATTTTCGAAAGGAAAAGGAAGTTGGGATGGATTGGGCCCTTGTTTTTGGTCGAGACCGGTTACAAAAGAAATATCTTGAACTGGGACCAATTTGGGATTGGTCCGGCCCAATACTGGTTTTTGGCCCTCTACCAACGGGCAACAATGAAGATCCAAAAACAACGTAAACTATGAACAACTTTGGTACTTATTAGCAAAATAAACATGCATCAAGACTCCTAAACAAACTGGATGAATCCCATAGACCAGGGATTTATTCAACAACCTTTTTACCAAACTCTAAACACTAGAATCAACTCTACAAACTACCTACCGGACCATCAACCATAACCAAAAAAGAAAGCAAATATACGTGTTTTCTCATCGGAATTGCAGTAGCAGCGCCAGATTCAAGAACACCCCCTCCGCGTGCAGATCAATTTGGTAGCATTGTGCTCGCTCTTTTGTCTTACACTGGCCACAGTCAAAGAGCTCTTCAAAAATTGCATCATACGGGACCGTCAAGGAGTAGAAAAAGAGGTTCGTTCTTGATGATTCCTTTAGGTGATTGATGTATAGAATCTTCATTCACCAGCCCATAAGTGTTCTTCTCACTTTGTCAACAATATCCCGTTTGGCTCGATTGCTGGTTAATGGAAATCCCCTACTTTCATCCAGAAGGAACCTGTATACTTCCCACTGCCGAAGTGGTGTCGAATGTCTTCCTATCTCTGCCTATACAAATGCCAAACAAAAGAAAATTTAGTCTAGAGATCAAAAAAACAAAGACCCACGGCATAGTGTAGTTTGGGCCATTCTTCCACTGGCATTGTCTATTAGCTTACAGGGATGTGCTTGTGTGTTTAGGAGGAGGTTCAAACTACTCACCGAAAAGACGCATATCCCAAGTGTCTTTAATGCTAGTGTCACATCATAGAAAACACGAGGCCTTCCCTTCCCAGATAGCTCGACAGGATTAGCAACCAGAAGTTCTGTATCAGGGCCACGGTTGGTAATGATGACTCTCAATGGATGTAGCATCTCCTCCTTTAGTCGGGAACATAAAGCAACCTGGTTATCATTATCTACAATCTTCTTCCCATCTTTTTTTTGAATAAATAGGTCCAAACTCCGGTATCCTTTTACGCTAGATGAGATTCTTCCATGCACAATCTGGAATTAAGCAAGCAATTCAATCAGAACGCTTATCTACCTTTTGGTGTACTTAACAAGTCAAATAAAAATCCCTGAATTTTGTTGAAATTAATGAAAAGCAAGATTGGCATACCCGGATATCGCAGTCCTTGGAAATCTTTAATATGTCGTAGACGAGGCCCTTTTGATCAAGACATTGTATTTGAAGCAAGGTATGTGTAGGACTCAGTAAATTATCAACTGTTATACTGGCCTTCTTAACTTTTGACACATCGGCACTGAGAGTTTGTGCACGATCTTCCTTGGCAGAAAGCTCACAGCTGAACAACTCTTCAGCAACTGCTTCTGAAATACACGAAAGCCCTTGCTGAATGTCGTACTCAGGACCTGCTAGCTGAAGTTCACAGCTGATACAACACTCTCCTAAAACGACCCTCAGGTGTTCACATGTTTTCTCACGTCTAATGTTTGTGTGAAGCAGGTCCCTGAAATTAATTGAGCAACATTTCACATTACTTAATAGCTCGCATCATGTAGCCAGAAAACAGAAATGAACTCCACAAATATTTGAGCAGGTCTGCAAGAACTGAAGCTCTATGCTTCAACTAGAACACATGGTTCACCATTCTATAGGTCATAGTTGCATCTCAAAGGACACTAACAATGCACTCGGTTCAACTATTCACCGCAAACCATGACCACATCAAGCATGAATCGCCCCTTATATTAGCTTATATTTCAACTAAACATACACTCGTTAGGACAAGAAGAACAAGACTTACATGCCATCTGTAATAAAGAAAAGGTCCAAGACCTTTCCATCTGGGGTTGTCATCACTTTAACTCTTTGAATTGCTAGCTCAAGCTCGCAAAGAACTTTCGTTACATCTATAAAAGTTGCAGATCCAAATCAGAACATGCATAGTAAATCTGAAATAAATCAAAGGGAACACTTCTAACATCGTATGAGTGCTTACCATGTATTAATCCTTTGCGATCCAGGGAGAAAACCTTCAACAGGTACAGCTGAGGTGGTTTAGAACAATCGGAGAGTTGATTGAGATAAAATGTAGGCAAACATGAAGGGCAACAAGATAAAAGCCGCTTGTTTAAGCTCTCCCAATCAACCCTCAGCGAGCTTGGACGTGGGACTACCCATAACACTATGTAACACCATTTTCCATCGGTCGAGAAATCTAACAACATGGTATACGAACCATTCAATATTATGTAAACTTGTACTATTTAAAGTTAGCTCAAAACCCAGTAAATGTAAGAGCATACCTTTACGTAATTGAAATACAATATACATAAACATACACTTTTGACTTTTGGGGATAAAGATAAACTATTCTGCAGGATTGAAAAAGTACTATTATACTAAATAAAATTCTTCACTGTTGGCACAAAATTGACAACAGAAGCAAATTACAATCAAATCACTGCCAACTTTGAGTTTTTCAACATGCTTTAAACTTAAATAATGCATGATTATTTTCAATTAAAATATATGTAGGTTGACCCACAAAATTGAAACCGGAAGGAGGCACATCTTTATGATATAATGCATGTTATTGCTTGCATCCCAAATATTAATACTACAGAATTTCCATTTGATACACAAGTATGCAACCAATTACACAAGGCATATATATTATAATTAATTATCCTTCGTTCCAGTATGAATAACTCAAAGAACCTAGTGCATTAGCAGATGTTATCAGACATGAACATTGAAACATATAAATCAACTTAGCATTAATCCAAATATATAGGTATAACCTTTTTACTCTACTGAACCAGATCTACAACCTCAGCGTTGTTTATATCTACATCAGTTTCATGTTCGTATCAACGTCCAATGATATTCTCATAATTACAGATTCCATTTCTTGTACCTAATTTCGGATGGCAACACAATCAAACGTCCATTATAGCTCCATACATAATGAAAATTAAGTTTATCAGATCCACTTTAACTAACGGTGACGGGAAAAATGAACATAAAAAAACCTAAATCTTAACAGCGAGTGTCTGAAGGAAAAAAATTGTTACCTCCACGGGTGACATAGAGTCCGAATTCGAGTACAATCCGTAACAGGTCACATCCAAGGCCGGCCTTGTCGGGACAGTTCACCGTAACCACCGTAGGGTCGGTGGAAGTCTTACCTCCCTCAATCAACACCACGTCTTCCCACGACATCCCCATCCTCTTCATCCGATTTGAGCTCCTCCGGCGACTAATTGGCCATAGCCGGAGACAGGGTAGATTTGGTTGGTGGTTTGGTAGATGCAAATTCACTTCATTCCCCAACCTTGTTTATCTCTCTATCGGCAGAAAACCAATGGGGGAGTATTTGTATTGTGGTGGAGGTATTTTGGACCCAGGTTGTATGATTTCCACGTCAGCGTCCTGACAGATGACACGTGGCAGTAGTCCGTAAGAGATAGGTGGTACGAATAAAATGTGATGCTAAGCTGTGTCGCGGGAGAAGCCTGATGTTGGTGTTCTTGAACGTGATCAGTCTTTAAAAATTATTATTATATTATACAGGTTGTGTACCATGCAATGCGGCAGTAACCGTATATTTTAACGATTTTGAAGTTTCATAATTTTTATTAGAGAATATTTAACGACGATATAAGTTATATTTGGTTTTTATATATTAATACAATTTGAATAAATAAGAGTTATGGTTCCAATTACAGTTTATCKATGAAAAAAATTGTATGACAGTTTAAAATCCAATATATTTAAACGACTCCACAAATGTGTTTGATTTACACCAAGAACAAATAATCAAGAGATCGAGACCGAGATCGAGAGCGAGACCGAGATCGAGACCGAGAGTTCTAGAACAATTGAATGAGAGATGAATAAGAGAACTTTTAATAAGTAATTATCAATATCAGTTTGAATATCACCTTGGTGATGGAGACAAGACATAGATGTATGAAAGGATGAAAACATGAGGAAAATGTGTCAAAAGTATTTTGAGAACATGAAAAGAAAAAGTAATAATGTGCATTGATAACTTGTACTATGTGTTATTTTAATTGTAGATTAAGAGATTTTAAGACCGAATGCATAAAGTAATAATACTTAATGCATTATGAGTTACTAGTTGTGTACCCGCGCAATGCGGCGGGAGCCATGAATTTTAACGATTTTGAAGTTCCACTGGTTTTATAAGATAAGATTTAACGATGATATAAGTTACATTTGGTCTTTACATATTAATACAATTTGAATAAATAAGAGTTATGGTTCCAATTACAGATTATCGATGAAAAAAATTGTATGATAGTTTAAAATCTAATATATTTAAAATCCAACATATTTAAACAACTCCACAAATGTGTTCGATTTACACCAAGAGCAAAGAACCAAGAAACTTGAGTTTTAAGATAAACACTCAAAACAATAAAGAAAACTACAAATTTGACAGATCATAAGCCATGAAAAGGCAAAAAAAGATGAGTTTTAGAATGAAATTTCAACTGCTTACAGTCTTTTTTGTCCATAAACTCAGATTAAGGTTGAATTAATACATGTATATATATATACATATATATATATATATATATATATATATTATTTTAAAAAAACCCAAGAACATATTAATTCAAAACATATTATACAGTGCAATTTGGACAGCCTAGCCCCAAAATATATAGCATATATATAAATAAATAACTATAAAAGTATAAATCGTAAATATTAAAAATATTTTTTCACAGTATATATAATAATATAATTTAGTCAAAAACTATTCAATATTTGACTCATTTCGAATGATTAACGAGACGATTATAATAGTGTAATTTGTTAAAATAAAAATTTATTTTTTAAACATGTTTTAATTGATATACGATTATGTATGTTAATTTGATAAAGGTTTAAAATGAAACATTTAAAAGTAAAAGACGTAAAGTAAATTAATTAATTAATTATGGGGGTATAAAGTGTAAATTTAAAATTATAATTTAAAAAAAATCGGTTGTGAGAGGGTAAGTGTATGTGAGGAGGTGAAAAAGTGACCTAATGATAGTATAAAAGGTATTTTGGTCATTTAGTATTTTAAGACTTTAAAACTTTTGTTAAATTTACTTAATAAGATAGTATAGATTATTGAGACTTTTAAGACTATGTGCATAAATGTATAGTATTTTGTGCATTAAAAATTGTTTTTAAAACTTTTGATAAATCTGGTTTATAATGTAGCATAGATTATGCGAAAGACAAAGAATGTCGTGAAAATACGAGTTAAAATGGGAAAGTGGATATTTGAATCTTCAATCACTTTTAAGGGGTGTTTTGGATTGCTTATAAAAAATAATTTATTTGGTATGTTCTGGTATGGGACCGGTTATAAACACTTTTGAATGTTCGGATAAACAACTTATACCGGTGCCAAACCGGTAATAAGAAACTTTTGAAAAAATTAAACCATGCTAACTTGTAATAAATTTATAAACATTTTTGTAAAAAAACATAAGTTGTTTCAAATAAACAATCACAAACACCCCCTTAGTTGGTGTTAAAAAAAACTCGTTGTAATAGTCGTCGTATTATGTTGTGGTCTAAAGTTTGTATTTTACATCATGTTAAATCTATAGTATGTTATGATCTAATGTATGGTTTTTGCAACGTAGTTTTTGATTTTTCTTATTATTTTTAATGTCTTATTTATTAGTTTCTAATGTATAACCGAATTTAAATTATTCAATATCATTGACCCTTTGAATAATTGTAGAAAATATATGCTTATATGTATAATAATTTGTATGATATAAAAATTTGCCGGTACGTCATTTCTAGAAAAATGTACTAGAATGGTACTCGTGCAATGCATCGAGACATATTTTGATTTCAATGTTTTATTATGTCAATATAATACAGTTTTATGTGGTTTTGAAAAAAACGATAATGTTTTATTTTTGAATAAAATATAAATTTGAAAATATAATAAAATTTTGAAAAAAATTTATATCGATATCAGTATCAAATTAATATTTTTAAAAGTTCTTGTATTTTGGTGTAATTTCCTTAATTCAATTTTTTTAAGGGCAAATTGCATGAAAAGTAACGTACTTTAACTTCATTCATATTTTGGGAAACGTACTTTCAAAACTTCTATTTTGGTACCTAAGATGTAAAGTTTTAAACATTTAAGTACCCGGGTAACTGGTTGAAGTATTAACCGGTTATCATACTGATGTGGCGAGTGATGTGGTATCCAACTTGGTATTATTTGTTGACCTAGTCAGTAACGTGAATTTTTTTTAATCTAAAATTAGTCTTTCTTTTAGTCTAAAATTAGTCTTCATTGGGTTACCCGGGTACTTAAATGTTTAAAACTTTACATCTTAGGTATCAAAATGGAAGTTTTGAAAGTACGTTACCCAAAATAGGAATGAAGTTAAAGTATGTTACTTTTTCATGCAATTTGCCCTTTTTTAATTATAATTTAATTTAGATTTACTAACAAAGAAATTTAATTTAGGTTTAATAATATAATTTTTATATWGATAATAATTAAGTATTCTGTTAGAACTTAATGATTATYCTAATTATATTTTAGATTTTCTATATTTAAAATGAGATGTTTATCATGTATTTGATTATGTTTATCTGCAGTTAGTTACATTAATTCAAATATGGAACTTTAATAACTTGTACTTACGTACAATCTACTTGTAATCTTGAGTTTTAAGTAATATGCATTAATAAACAATACTTTACNTGCAATTAGTTACACGAATTCAGATATGGAGTTTTAATAAGTTGTACTTACGCACAATCTACTTGTAATCTTGAGTTTTAAGTAATATTCATTAATAAACAGTAATTTACGCATAAAAAGTAGTTTTTAAGAGTTTTTGTCAAATAATTTAATTTAAGTTTAATAATGAAATAATTTATTTTTGGTTTAATAATATAACATTTTATAAAGATAATAATTAAGTATTCTGTTAAACTCAATGATTATCCTTATTATATTTTAGATTTTTTATATTTAAAATGAGATGTTTATCCTGTATTTGATTGTGTTTATCTGCAGTTTGTTACATGAATTCAGATATGGAGCTTTAATAAGTTGTACTTACGCACAATTTTACTTGTAATCTTGAGTTTTAAATAATATGCATTAATAAACAGTACTTTACGCATAAAAAAATGGATTATTGAGACTTTTAAGACTATGTGCATAAATGTATAGATTATGCACTAAAAATTGTTTTTAAAACTTTTGATAAATCTGGTTTATAATGTAGCATAGATTATGCGAAAGACAAACGAATGTCGTGAAAATACGAGTTAAAATGGGAAATAGAAGTGGATATTTGAATCTTCAATCACTTTTAAGGGGTGTTTTGGATTGCTTATAAAAAATAATTTATTTGGTATGTTCTGGTATGGGACCGGTTATAAACACTTTTGAATGTTCGGATAAACAACTTATACCGGTGCCAAACCGGTAATAAGAAGTTTTTGAAAAAATTAAACCATTATAACTTGTAATAAATTGATAAACATTTTTGTAAAAAAACATAAGTTGTTTCAAATAAGCAATCCCAAACACCCCCTTAGTTGGTGTTAAAAAAAACTCGTTGTAATAGTCGTCGTATTATGTTGTGGTCTAAAGTTTGTATTTTATATCATGATAAATCAATGGTATGTTATGATCTAATGTGTGGTTTTTGCAACGTAGTATTTGATTTTTCTTATTATTTTTAATGTCTTATTTATTAGTTTATAATGTATAATCGAATTTAAATTATTCAATATCGAATTTAAATTATTCAATATCATTGACCCTTTGAATAATTGTAGAAAATATATGCTTATATGTATGATATAAAAATTTGCCGGTACGTCATTTCTAGAAAAATGTACTAGAAGGGTACTCGTGCAATGCATCGAGACACCTTTTGATTTCAATGTTTTATTATGTCAATATAATACAGTTTTATGTGGTTTTGAAAAACGATAATGTTTTATTTTTAATAAAATATAAATTTGAAAATATAATAAAATTTTGAAAAAAATTTATATCGATATTAGTATCAAATTAATATTTTTAAAAGTTCTTGTATTTTGGTGTAATTTCCTTAATTCAATTTTTTTAAGGGCAAATTGCATGAAAAGTAACATACTTTAACTTCATTCATATTTTGGGAAATGTACTTTCAAAACTTCTATTTTGGTACCTAAGATGTAAAGTTTTAAACATTTAAGTACCCGGGTAACTGGTTGAAGTATTAACCGGTTATCATACTGATG